ACTTACATCAACAGTTGCTAGTAAGCCATTTGCATACATTTCTTGGGCTCCTGAAATTCGCAAATTAAGTAATTGAAAAAGTTGAAAGTAAAGAGTGAAAAATGAAAAACAAGTAAACAATACCTTTAAGATAAGCTATTGTTGGTGTTGGATTTCGATAGGAGGATTCAGGGCCTGTAATGAGCCCTGGACAGATGGTGGTCAATTTTAAGCCCATCTCCTCAGCTATTTTCCATGCAACTTTCTCTGCTTTCAGCTTCCCCAATGCATACCAGAGCTACCACATTTGAGAGAAAAAGTAAGAAACTATTAAAAAGAAAATGCCAATAACTCCCATGTATTTATCTCAAAGCCATGGATTTTTTCTACTTCTAGCTTGCTGTTTGCATTTACTATACCTTTTTGTCCATGCAAAGTGATTCATCACTCCAGCAATCATGATTAACCAAAGGGGGGAGATCATGTTGGGAGCTGTCTCTCCATATGCAAGCCAAAAGTGAAGAGGTGAGCACACAATTCCTGACAGAAGTTGTTCTTGCACATGCCTTCATCACATTTTCACTGGCCTTCACTTCTATTTCAGCCATGGATTTCTAACAAACACAAAAATATAAGCTAAACATAACTTTCTTACATTGTGTTAAATAAATTGATTCGGTAATATGAACTCTTATGAACACTTTCCCACATTACAAGCAGACAAATTTCTTGTAAATACAATTCCAAAGATATTTCTTAGGGTAACGTCATTTTCTAACATAAAAAGTAAGCGTCAAGTTGGTCCTAAAAGAAGAGTGTCAAAACAAGATAGTGAAACAATCGTGTTGGAAAGACAGGATGATGAATCAAGAAGTTCATGATTGTGACATAAATTCAGACACGTAACTGGACAATACCTCTCCAAGTTCAGACCAACTGTCAAAGGAGATTGGTGCTCTGGTCCTGGTAGGCCAACCCAATATTAAGTCCTGAAGCCATATATTTTCATAGTGGCCCACTTATTTTCAGAAATTAGACTTTTCAGCTTACTTTTTCTTCTCATTCCTTTTATCTTTCATCTCAAAATACTACCAAAATTTACCGATAGTCTGTCTGATGTTCATTACTGCTACGATAGTACAAAGTATTAAGCAAACTGTTCTTTCACCTTTTACTGTATTACTGTGACTTGGTTGGTAGAACCTAATAAATTCATTCATAGAGTATTCCATGTATCCATCTACCATAGATTTTTGCCATGCAGATTCAATAAGGACTAGTGATACTATACCTCTTTTTACACTTTTGCAGCAATATTGCATTAACCATTAAAGTACGGTCAGTTTGATTATTCTGAATAGCAAAAGAAAGTCAAGAAAGTCAAGAACTCACCGAATAACCAGAGATGCCAGCAGGGTCTGTGAAAGCAGAGGTGTGAAACACACCACGACAGCCATCAAACGCCTCTATTAGCCCCTGGATTTCAGTTGGCTTAGCCATGACCACAGAAATTTTATTCTTACATGCCATCATGATCTCCCCTGAAATCTCCATCTCCCTCAGCCTCTCTACATCTTCTGTATTATTTTGAATCAATTAAAACCAGAAACAAAACACAAGTATTTTATGATCATAATAGTCTTTCTGAAAACAGAAACTTTGACAAGAACCTGAAATCTGACAAGGGTTTTCAACGACTTAAAATTTTCATCTAATGGTGGGGACTTGGGAATTTTGTTTACCTTGGTTATCAACAAGGATTCGAACAGAGTATCCATGGAGCAAGAGACGGTTAACTAAGGCAAGCCCAAGGAAAGAAACACCACTGGTAACACAAACAAGCTTGTCTTCAAGGTCAACGTTAGCATTATGGGAACTCAGGTCTTTGAAATCTCCATTCTGTTTTCTTCTTTCCAGGGCAGCAAAACCAACCAAAGTCTGCCTGAAGTCCTCAAACTCCCTTCTTTCCTTCTCTTCATCTTGTGTCCTTGCAATCCCCATGTCTGCTTCTCTAGCTTGGTTCAGTAACTCTGGGTTCCGATGTTTGCTATAATTGTCTGAACTCTGAAGTGGGTTAAGTTTATGGATGCTTAAAAGGATCTGAAGCTCTAGGAATAATCATGCAAAAGGCACGCCCTTTTTATTTGAAGCTTATTTATTACAGCAAGATGTGGGCTGCGGAAGAGTCTGACAGAAATGATCAAGGATGAGTTGGCTCGTTAGCTTGGCTTGGCTTGATTGGTTATAAATTCCATTCGATGGTAAAAAACACAAAAAAATTTTAAAAAAAAGGAAAATATTCACATACCACATTGTATTGTACGGATTAAAATACTAAAAAAATTTCTGACTTTTTATATTTTTATTATATTAAATAGAGACTTATTTTTTTATTTGTATTTAAATTTATCTTATTTAAATCTTACTTATATTTAAAAGGAGTCTTATTTTTTATTTGTATTTAAACTTTCATTGAAATATAAATTAAAAATTAAAAATTTATTCTGATGTAATAAAAAATTTTCTTTAAAAATATGAAGAAGTAATTTTCAATTAGATTATTTAAATTTTTTATTTAAAGATATCGTGTACATTTAATTTTAATTACTAAAATTAAAAGTTTGATCATCTTTATTTACGCATATTACTTATTACGTGTTGAAAATTTCAATCATACTATAAATAATTTTTGTTGGATATATATTAAATAAATTTTTATTAATCTTAGATCATTTTTAAACACAATGAATGAAAAATTTTCATTCAATAATAACTGTTCAATTATTAATGTGAAGCCACCTAATTAAGAAAGTTGACTCTCGAATTTATGTAGAGTATTTTTAATTAATTAAATTTATTTATTAGAAAAATTCTTGTGGATTTAATTCTCATATAGAAAATTAATATTTTTAGATTCCGTTTGATTTAAATTTTTTATTTTTTGCTATTTATATTTTGTTTTTCATTTTATATTTTTTTATTAAAAAAATAAATAAAAGTACTAACCAGACTAATAGTATAATTTTGATGGAGTAATCATTTTATTCATTTAGACAACATAATTCTTCTATGTGCTCAGTCAAGCCATGTTGCAAACGACTATGATGGACCAACCATGATCATGAAAACAACAGATAATAATAGGCTCAATTTTTTTTTTTCATTTGAATGAGCATAAGGAATGTCATAAGACATAAGTTATGTTTTTTTATATTTAATTAAATCATAATTATTAAAATTAAAATTTAATATTTTAATAACAAATTTTGTAATTATTAATTATAAATTATATCCTCAATTTAAATAAAAATTAAATCTTGTTTTTTATTAGTATCAATTTAAATGTACACCTAAGATTTAAAATTTCATTATTTTTCTCATTTGTAGATCTCAATTTTTGTTATGAAAAAAATAATATTCTTAGCTAGTTGACTATATAATAATTAATAAACCACAATATTTAGAATAAAATAGAAGTCTACATATGTAGTGTAGGGGTATTAACAAATAAAACTTTTGACAAACTATTTACGAACATATTTGATTTCTATTCATTTATATTTATTTTTTAAGCTTAATAAATAAAAATATATAATATTTTTATATTTATTTATTAAACAAATTGAATATAAATAAAAATTTATTATATTCATGAATAGGCTTATCTAAATTTTGTTTAAGACTCATTTTTTTATTATTCATTTGTTATTCATTTATAATAATATTAACAAAATAATATTTTTATTTTTTATCATAATCTTATTTTAATGTTCATTTATATTTGTTTGAGTGGTTTATATTCATTTACGATTTTTTTTGTTTTAATTTATTTAGTTATGATTTATTTATTATTTATAAATATATTTATTTATATATATTCATGAATAAATTCGTTTAATATTCATAAACGAGCTCATTTAATTTAATTAAATGGATCATAAATCAGATGTGAATATCTTATTATTTAAATAAATTAAATTTAAATGAATAAAATAATTTTTTTATTAAATACAAATCAAACTCAAACACTTTTAAAAATAAATAAATAAATCATAAATATATATTATTTATTCATATTCAATTTATCTACGATCCTTTATATATATATATATATTTAAAAAGAGATAAGGGTTTCTTTAGAAAAATTAAATAAAAGAGGCAAAATATAAAAGCTTTTTGTGAAAATGCATGGCTTGGCTAAAGCAAGCGGCTGGAGCTGGTAAGTAATAAGATATGAAAAAGATTCTCACGTGTTGAATGACAAGTAGACACGAGATGATGGCTTGGTGGCTCATTTTCAGTTAGTTGTTGGCGATTGTTAAGCCCACCTGCTTGTCACTCACAGACTTTCAAGTCCAATCGGGTTTCACAGTTCCACATTTCTTGTTCTTGCAGCTCTTCTACGGTTTCATTCTTATCCTAAAAAATATTTCAATAGAGAATATTATTGCTTAGTTGACTAAAATCACAAGAAAATTTACACAAAAATAGGAAAATCACATTCTCATGAATTAAAGATTTTTATTTTATAATACTAAATTGGCATACTATATATATATTTATATATTTAACATAAAAAAATCACTTCAGGATGATATTGGAATGTTCTACCTTGACCCGTCACAAGGTATATATAAAAAAAATAATTTATTTAATTTTATATTTTTATATATTATATTAATAAAATTATTATTTAATAATTTAATTAAAAATTAATTAAATAAAACATTATATTTATATTTAATTAAAATATATTTTGTTTTAAAAATAATAATTTATAAAAATTATATTAAATAAAATTTATTAAATTAATTTCGCCTCAAGTTAAATTGGATACGTATTACACGTGTTAAGTTTAAATCGAGATGGAAGAGAGTATAAATTCATTGAAGCATTAATGTAATTTGTATTAAAATTAATATTTTATAAAAATTATTGAATTAATTTCGGATCGATCGATGCAGACAATATACATGTGGGGTCTGAACGAAGGAAAAAGAAAGATCAAGGGCGAATCAGGTGCTTAACCGATCACTGTCCTTTGATTGTCGATTATCAATCTCAATCATTCCTTAGGAATAATAAGCATGGTTAAGCACAAGTTGCTTCAGTTAACATCAAAATGCACAAGCATCCATCCTAATATAAAACAGAGAAGTTTTCTGGTTCAAAAAGACATCTTACTTTGACATTCATGGAGGCCAAGTAAAAGCTCCCTGGTTGCCATTGGGAACCATCCATGGCTCAAAAATATATTTACCCACTTCTTAATGTATTTCTAGTTCAAAGAGCAAATGAACACCGGAGAGAGGGAGAGAGAGGGGTTGTGATTATATTACAATATCCTGTCAATAAATTACAAGTAACGTGAGACTCGAGCAATGGCATCTCAAAATTTGGGCGTCCGGCCAAACACACAGCCATTGATATGGTACACTAGAAATACAATAAAAGGAACTGCCATGTCTCAACACCATTTAAAACCTTCATGAACCCTAGCGCTGAAGAAATAATCACGCAGTTTATGTATCAACATCGCCACCATGCTTCATTGTCTCACATTCACTCTTTGTTGTTGGCCAATGCATTTAATTGTTTCTCCAACTGCAAGTTGGTGACACAAAGTAAAATGAATACAGTTTCCGGTTGGTAGGAAAAAATAAAATCTATTGCAATCGGAACAAGGGGAAGTGATTGGTAAGTATGAAAATTACTTGGAATTCATTAGTTTCACAACATGAGACTATATATAGATATATTCAAGATAAATGCACAAACCTGCATGTTTTTCATTTTCTGTCGCTGCAATTCCTCAACAAGGTTCACAATACTGACAACAGAAATAAAGTCAGTAAAATGATGCATGAAGAAAGAAAATCAGCACTGTTTGAATTTCATGTCTACCTCTGTTGCAGCTGAAGCACCTGAGATTGCAGCTCTCTCTCCTTTGCAGAAGAAGGTGGCATCTGCTCATGCAATTAAGACAACTTAATCATTCCTTCAGAAAAATAAAATCCTTAAAAAAGTCTGCTTATCTAAGAAAATAAGTCCCAGCATGAGAAATCCAGCAATGGCATAAACCAGAAAATAATAACGTAATTGATGTCATGGAACATTACATTAAGAAAGCTCATATGGTTTCAACTTACAAGAGTAAGAAGTTAAGGTTTGATTAATTACCTGTAAAAGGTCGTTGGTACCCACCTCTGCCAAGTCCCCAAGCTTACCTGTACAAGCAAGAGAAGTTAAATTTAACATAAAATTTCTTCCTTGATTAAGCAGCAGAAAATGCAGACAATCAGAATATAGAGGCATTACCAGAAGTTTGCTCCAAATACTTGATCAGTCTAATGATTTCTTCCTGTCAGCAATCATCAACAAAAAGAACATATTTTAAGACAAGCAGTCTCTATGACATGAGAATTGAGATTGGACATACAAAAAGTTAAGTACCCTTTGCATGGTATTCTGCTGCAAAATGAATTGTAGAGATGGGAGAACGGCACTAGTTGTCATGTTTAGAGATTTTGGACTGGTTGATCCTCCAGTAGCTGGGTTAAAAATGCAGTTTGTAGGTCCCTGAATGGGAGAAAAATAATGGCAATGGTTATAACGCCATTGCCTCAAAGATAAATTGCTAAGTTCCATCCTTATTGTTCTTCATGCCAAAAACAAAAACAGATTCAAATATTCATCCATAGAAGACAGTTTGTAGGAGCAACTGTTTGGGCTGCAATGAGGAAGTATAAGCCACAAAATTTTCATTGGTGGCAATCCAGGTATTAGTGGATAAACTTAACCAAAAGCAATGAAAGTCTTACACGAAACATACGGTTTGAAATTCGATAACATGCATCCATCAGGATAAGCACATGAAATGCATATATGAAAACATGTCAACCATATTTGAAGAAACCAAAGTCCGCTGAGGAGTCATTTAGAAAATTGCCCTTTAGCAGAATTATTCAATATGACTTTAAAGTATAACAGTTTATGGCATTAGATGTATGTCATGCCTAACAAATAGCAACCAACTATGTAGATATTTATCAACGCTGATAAATTTCACTGCAGTAGATTATTACAGAGAGGAAGATACAGACACTCAACATATGCATCAATTCCAAACTGCGCCACTGATTTCAAGTATAGACTGTTTATCAGCACAAGTTGCATGTTATTGCACAACAGCGGAAGATGGTAGCCAATAGGCCACAAAGTTTCTTTAAAAACATGAGGTAAACATTTCGTAATGTTGCAGACATACCTTAGGACTAAGGTCTGCAGAAGTCACCTTAAAGCGTCCCCGCTGAACAACTGCTCCCTCTGATGCATCCTCTGATACATAACAAGAGGCAAAGAAACCAAATTAAGTTCATTAGAGTGCAAATAAGTAGCATCACTTCTAAGTAGAAATTGAAGAAAATAAAACCAAGAAATACCAGATGAAGTGTTATTTATTTCTCTCCTCTGGCGGTACAACAATGGACCACTATAGTTGTGTTCGGATTGAAATTTAGAGTGTGGGAAGTCCCTTCAAAACATTTTTGATAAACCCAATTTAATATAGATTATGACATAGAAAACTTTTCCAGTCAAGTAAATGGCAAATACAAAGCAACAATGTTCTTTTTAACTACAGAATAGCAGAATCAATGACCAAGTCAAGAAGAAAGTCCATGCTCCCAGATCATACATCTAGGATTCCTCTAGACTTGCAATCCATAGAATTCAAAAACTCATCATATCTAGAGCTTGATAATGGGAAAGAGATCTTCCTATGTGGTAATTCAATCACTTCAATCATTCTATCATGTTTGGTGATAACAGTTTTGGGGGGCCTCAGGATAACTTCACTTAGAACAAAGCTTACCTGTCCCCATCTCCTGTAACCTTTTTAGGAGAAAAGGCATTATCAGGAATTAGTGAACCGCTCAAGAACTTTTTATGCTCTGGAATGACCTGACGTGGTAAAGAGCTACTTTGCCTGGAATTCTCACCCTCATTTCTTCCAGCATCTTGGTCCAAGGCTCTTGATGACTTTGTAATGAACTGTTCACTTTCTGATGGGGTAACACCTTTCCAATTTGGACTATTTGCACCCTCGTCATCTTCACCAATGTCAAAACAGCCTCTGCACCAAATGGTTGCATAAATAAAGGACAAACTAAATTACTGAAAACAACTTGCCTGTCAACCTTTCTTTTTCCAAAAAATAAAAAAGTAATTAGCCTCAGAGATGCCATATATGTTCTTAAAATATATACAGAAGAAGATACAACAAAAAAGCAGATAAATTGAAAATTGATCGATTGAGCTTGTGACAAAATACTGCTTTCTATTTGAAAAATTACAATTCCCAATCTCATTGGATGTGACAAACGTGAAAAAGGATATCCTCCTAATTATGTTGTAAAAATGAATTGTTCGCAATAATAAGGTTATGCAAGCTTAAAAATGTCATACTTGAGTGCTTGAAGAGGTTTAATAGGAAATGAAGCAAATGAACTCTCCAAATCATTAAGATCACTCAGCCCGTCCTGAAACAAGTAAAAGGAGGACATAAATCTTAAAGTACAAGCTTAATCAAAGCATCAATGGAGGATTGAAGGGCTGACAATGTAATTATATAGAAATCATTTTGGGGTTATAACTGGTACCTCCTGGCTAGTTGCAGCAATGGAATTACTAGCCGTTTCTGGAGACATCCTCTCTGCAGCTAATCCAACTACATCATGCCCATTCCTTTGCTTCCTGCTCCCATCTTGATCTCCTGCATTTGACATGTCATCATAATCTTGAATCTGCAGGCAAAACAGTCAGCATTTCTGATGAGACTAAGATTATGGAGCAGTTCTTGGACTACTTCCAGAATAAATAATACAAGACAAAATTCATATGGGGAATTGAAGCTACTTACAAGTGCAGCCTGACTTTTCAAGTCCTCTAAGTTGAAATTCCAAGCACTGATTCCTCTTATGTACTCTTGCTGCAACACAAAAGGAATTCATATTCAAATTGATACCATGGAATCATAGATTTTTGATATATCATGGGCCTTCATTAGTCAAAGTAAAAAAGCTGTAACAGTTACTATTAATCTTTAAGACCCGAGATGAGTGTCGAACTGACAGCAATTGGAGCACTCAGAATACAAAGCCCTAAAATACTAGCAAGACATGAAGGAAAGAACCTAGCACTATCAGTTACTTTTTGATGACAAATGTAAAAAGCTACATTATTCACCTGTGATAATTGCTCCTTGTCCGCATAGAGAGCCTTATTCTGTAAAAGAAGATCAGCCTTTTTTGTCTGAGACATAAAAGACCAGATCAGAGTCCCACTTTAAACAGAGGTCACAAATTAAAGAAAAAGGGTAAGCAAGAGACCTTTAGCACCCTAAAACGTTCACCTAATGGAGCACGTCCTTCAAGAATGGCACGAGCTAGGTAATCACAGGAGCGTGCATGTTTAAAGAAATGGTGCTTCAAAAGCTTCTCTGAAGTTGGACGTTTCTTTGGGTCCTTCACCAAGCAGGTAGCTACCATCTCCTTGAAAGACTAGAGAAAGTATCACACTACCAGAATGTTACTATCAGAAGTGATACCAGTCATTAAGATACAATTGAATAACACAAACCTTTGAGAACCTCTTGTCCCTTTCGTAGTCCAGACCAGGAGGAGCGTTTTGCAAGGTCATCAACAAAACCTGCAGCAAAAATGGGATTAAACAATCAAACCAAGACCTAAAACAGAAGGCAACAACAAAATACATGCTATAAGCAACTGGAATAACCATTAGAAAACTAAGAGATTTACTTTCATCGGTGGATACTTGGAAAATGGGGCATGGCCATGAGCAAGTTCAAGAGCTGTTATTCCAAAAGACCAGATGTCCGCTCTATTTACAGGAAAGAGGAAAAGGAAACAAAATTATTTAAAAGGTACAACAAAACAAATAATGCAAGGAAATGAAAAGAAAAAGTATAGATCAGAAAAGCAATCAACTCACTTAAAATCATAACCATGCAATTGCTGCATAACTTCTGGAGCCATCCTGATATAAAAACAACAATTAGGAGACACATTGTGGTCATTATCAATTCTCAAAAACTGAATTTCAGTAATAAAAGCACCAATGAAAGTAAAATCCCAGACAGTTTAAAGGCCAAGGGAAAACAAATACCAGCAAGGAGTTCCAACAAAAGTATTTCTAGAACGCTGTCTGTCTCCAGTATCAAACATGCATGCTGATACTCCAAAGTCTGCCAACTTGACAGCACCATTAGAATCAATTAAAATATTCCCAGCCTGCAAATGGAAGTTATGAATGTAGATAAGAATAACATAGAAAAGTCCCCAAAATGAGAAGGAAGAAAAGAACAAGTACAAAATAACAGGCGGTACGCTGTTGACATATGTAGCAAAACTGGTATCCTACTTGTCAAATAAACAACAAGAATAAGTCTTATCAAACTAATAGATCCAATAGCATTCTACTCTTAGCATAAGACTGCATCTATGGAAGGCCGAAGAACTTTTCCCGCATTTATCATATTGCAACTACATTTTAAGAATAACCATAAGTTTTTCATATTAATTGTTAGACAATATAGCTTAAGCTGTATCTTTATTGAAGACAGTCAATAAGTAATTGGCTTGGCCTCTGAAAATAAACTACTTGCCAAAATAAGCAAGAAAACATATGGCATAAAAATAAAACAAGGGGCAATTAGAACCTTCACATCTCTGTGAATGTGCCCATGGGCATGCAGATAAACAAGAGCTTTAAGAACTTCACGCAACACAATAGCAATGACAGGCTCTTCAAAACCGTCTGGAAAATGAGATTCCATTATATGCAAGCAGGATCCCCCAGACATGTATGGCATCACAACCCAAAGGCTGTGACCAGTAGTGAATGAGCAATGTGCCCGTAATACATTAGGGTGATCAATCAAGCTCATGGTCTGCACCTCTCTGCGGATGCCATCCTGCATCATTCGTGAACAGAACCCATTCAATATGACAGAAATCTTATGTTTGATGTTAACTCTTGATGTGGTGGAGTTGTTGGGACTCTTAAGATAAGTGTATATGTAAACGTGACTGCCAAGAAACAAATAATGAAATGCCATGCTTACCAGATCATTATTGCACTTTTCCAAATCAAGAACCTTGATAGCAACAGTCTCATTAAGTGGAATGCATAAAGCCCTGTACACAGTGGCACTGACACCTTCTCCAACTTCTTCATATAACTTATAATCTTTTGCATTGACTGGATATCGTTTCTCCAAAGAATGTTCCATGGTTTCTTTTTACACCATACCATTACCACTCTCTTTACTCCTCGATGTTCCAATTGACAAAAACAAAAATTCAACCAAGGATTGAACTGTCAATCTAATGTGGGGATTCTTCCAATTTGGTAGCGTCTTCTCTCCTTTAACACACAGTGGAGTACGAGTCCACTAACTTCATCAAGTTAGGAGCCTTACCCATTACTTTTCCTAGCATGCAGAAACTGTTTAAACCCAAAAATCCTAGTTAATAACAGAAAACACCTTACACATTACAATAAGTATTTTGTGATTAAACTAATGGAACAATCTCAACAAAGCACTATGAGAACTGTGATTTACCCCGGATTGCAAATAGAAGCCTAAAGGCTAGCAAATGTTGCCAACCAAAAATCCATGTAAACTATCCAAGAAACAAAATGTATGGGAGGTGACAAGAAGCTCGTCATCGGAAAGATGGCATTAGGGGTAGTTTTAACCTGTACAAATCCCAAAAAGAAAATGGTGTTGACTCTTAATTACAAAAACACCTTTTTTTTTTTTTCGAAACAATTAAAACAAATACTAAAGAGGAAAAGCAAAAATTAACCTTCCTATAGAATCAAAACTATTACATGCTTTTATAACTCTTAGTTACTCTCGAACAAAAGATTCCAATCAAAAACATGAAATTTAACGCCCATATTTACCATTAATTTTCAGAAGAAAAATTAAAATTGAATAAAAGAGACCAACTCATTTCTTTCAAATTTTCAGCTTTTGTACAGCAATTGAGATATCAATTTAATTTTTCAAAATCCAATAAAAAAGGCAACTTTTTTATATATTCTAGTTTATATATTACAAAATAAACTTAAAAATATCCCTAAATTGTAACTATAGCTCCAAATTCTAACTAATTATCTATCTAAATAACTTAGCACTCATAAAATTAATCAAAGTATCCGCATTTCCTCTACAAAACAACTAAACTGAAACTGAAAATATAATCAAAGTTCACAGAATTCCAAATAACATCCCAATAAAAAAAAAGAATTAACTAACTACAAAATCATAAACGGTAGGACAAAATTAAGCTAAAAGTATTCACAGATTTGATACAAACCTAGGGTTTCAGCGGATTCAAATCAGAACTGAATCTGAAAACCTGATAAAAATTTGCATTAATAAATCGAAACCCAACCCCACCACCTCCTTCAAACGACGTCGCTTAAAGAACACTCTTTTACTTTCCAGCCTTAAATTTTCGATCCTTTTTTCCTTCTTCTTCTTCACAGACGACTGTACCGATGATAATTGTCGGTCGACAAATATAAAATAAAATAAAATAAAATTTTAAATTAAAAAAAACCGTCGAGTTTCAAGTCCTTAGATCAAATCTTCCAACTTTCCAGTTTGCAACGAAAATATTTTATTTTTTACTTTCCTTGCGTTTTTCTGAGCTTTGGTTTAGCAGCGTAAATATGAAAGACGAAAAATAAAAGACATAAAAAAGGAACAGAAGAAGCTCAAGTTCGATGCAAATTGGAGTGGGTCCCGACCAAGAGGAGATTTTCATGAGTTTTTGCTCTTCTCTCATAGGAGGTGAATATATCGTTCTTGTAATCGATCCTAATTTTATCAGAGTAATTTATCGTGGTTGCGATGGATTACAAGCAGAAGGTTATATCAATTTAAATCGGTTAAATTTGATTTGATTTTTTTAAGAAATTAATTATCGATTCGAATTTTAATTGATTTTTGTTTTAAATTGGTTTGAATTAAATTTATCAATTAATTTATTAATTTAAATATTTTTTTATTTTTATATATTATTTTAATAATATTTGTAATAATTTAAATAAATTTTTATATAAATAATTAATTTATTTTATAAAAATTAATAAAATCATATAATTATATTCTCTTCGATTTTTTTTATTTTTTAATTTAAATTTAATATATATTTAATATTTAATCTTAATTCAAATTGAATAAAAAAATTTTTTATTGAAATCCAATCAAATATTATAATTTTAAATAATTTTTAATTTTTAAAAAAAATTTCCATCCGTGCTTCAAATGAAAACTTTTATTTTTTTTTGAAGAGTTTTTAGTAGTATTTTTGCAATAAGTAGGAGAGTTTGCTATTTTTCTTAATTATTTTCATATCGTGACAAATTCTTATGATTGATGGCCATGAAGATCAGGTTTCACGGTGAGCTTTAGCTTACTCAATCCTACCCTTTTATTACAAGGCCACTGCAGTTTCAGATCTGAAGTTTTCAACGGGGGTTCAGCCAACAGATAGCTGTGGCTCTGAAAAAAAAAACCATTTTTTCCCCAAATTTTTTCTTTACCAAATCATTCAAAAAAAAAAAAAACCTTCAATTTGATCCTTTTTTCTATCTTTTTTTTTTAGTCATCCTCGTCTTCAAAATGGCTTCAATAATTCTCTTGAATTGTAATTGTAATCTCTACCCATATCTCATCGCTTGAAAATTTTCACTATTTCAACTTTAGTCACAATAAAAATTTTTAATCCATCGATTGTATCCCTTAAAATATTAATAAAAAAGTGATTCCATATTTTAATTTCTATAAAACTAAACATAAAGAGTTTCTTCAGGTATGAGAAATTGTCACTGTTGTTTCACATGCCAAATCAACTTTTTTTTTCCTTATCACAAGCATCTTCCTGCCAAGGTAGAAAGAAGTCATTGTTCGAATTTTTTTTTTCTAATACATTAGACAGTCCAGGCTTGCATATCTTATTATTATTATCAGCTTTTTCAGATCATTTTCATTGTATTTCTTTTTTAAATTTAAAATAAATAAATTATTCAATCTTATAAGATAAAAAAGATGTGTTATTTTCAATAATTCAAATACAAATAATTGAAAGTTATGCATTCAATAACTGAATTCGAATCTAAAATTTTTATAATAAAAAAAACGATCATTATTGATTGAAAAAATCATTTATTGATATTTTCATTGTATTTGAATTTTTATCAATGCATTTCATTTTATTGTGATTTTGGTTCAACTAGTTTTTAATCACTATTTATTTGAAATTATCATAGATTAAATTACAATAATTAAAATTAAAAGTCTAACAATTTACTAAAAATTTACATGAGTGACTTTTTAATTTTATATTATTGATTGATTTTTATTCCTTTCATACACAATTTCTTTTACAACATGATAGAAAATTATGGATCAATGTCAAAACATTCATCTAATTTGATAAGATTTTTTTTATTAAGTTTAGAATTCAAATTTCGATATTTTTGAATTTTTTTAAATAAAAAATATTTTCTTTAGATTGGGTCTTTGATGAGGTGCAGTAATATTGGGCCTGCAACTTTAGTGGGTTGAAATAAATCACCTAGGGCAGGCTTGTGCTTAATTCATAGGTCCATAAAAATCTTAGTTCTAAGAATCTAGGCATAATAGAGCATCCGATAGACATTATTTTCAGCAGTTAAAGGCCATGAAAGTCATGAGAATCTTGGCATTTCCACTCAAGTCTCAACATGATGTTGGCTGCAGGTGGAGGCTGGTAGGAAAAAGGGTTTGGTTTTGGTATCAAAGAAAATCCAGGCAAGTGGAGATTGTTGGTAGGACAAAGCACATGAATTTAGGGACATTGGGTAGGCAGACTTGACCCTTAAAAAGGGCATTTGTTAAGAGCTAGGGGGGGGTCCAAGGTCCTTTCTCCTTCCCTTAAAGAACCTGGACACTGAACACAGCCAAGACAACAAGTCTCCCCTACACATTACCTACCCTACATTTGGACTCCAAGGTTTTGCAATAAAAGGCAGTTAAATTTAATTCTAGGCCAGGCAGTGGCGGCCTCCAATTTCATCCAGTTTTCATGTCAGTATGTTTGTTGTTAAATCATCAAATCAGTTTGATTTGCAGAAGGAGAGATTCAAAAGCTTGTTCTTTGAGACAGAACAGATAAATCATGCATCCATACATCCAATGGATGATCTCAATGCTCGGTTGTTGAAATCACCTAATCATCAAGTTGTTTCATAATGGCTTTTGTCTTATGTTTCTTGTTTTTCCAAGCTAGGCTGGCCTCAATGAATATTGGGCCTGTCTAGTTTAAAACTTCTCTATCTCATGCCTAAACTATTCATGTTCTTACAAATTTTTTTGTACATATAAAAGAAGTATTAGTTTGGATCTTAATTATTAAAATTTTGAAATTTAAATTTATTAAATGTTAATTTTTAAAAGTAAGAGCATATAATTTTAAGATTATGCAATTTAAGGCACAATCTTTCCAATGGTAGATATAAATTAATAAATAACATATAATTAAAATTTTAATTTAATTAATTAATTTATTTATTCTTAAAATATGATATTTAATAAATTTGAAGTAATAAAAAAAGTTCAATTCAACTTCTACAATGCCCAAAAAAAAAAAAAAACATGCTTGCATATGCACTTTACACATGCGAAGATATCATGTATATTTATAAATGTCAATATAATTAAGTAATAGAAATTTAAATTACTTATTTAAACTCAAAAGTTTGTCAACTTTTAAAATAGTTTAAATAAAAAATTAAAATCCGTTAAATGGATTTAAACAAAATTTTTAGCTCCATTTAAAATTCGGATCGAGTTTATAAACTATAAATATTAAATATGAATCTAACCAAAATCGATCTAATCCGACTTAACCCATGAATTACTCTAGCATATAGTCTATTTCTTTAGTTTATAATTGTTTTTGGTAGGGTTGCAACACCTATTTTTCTTTCTTTGGTTGACCATAATGATGGTGAAAAGCATGAGGGTGGCATGAAATATTGAAATAGACAAGGCACGAAAGTTATGCAGTGAAATTGAAGCAATATTCCTTAAAGTTATGGATGACCTACCGCTAATAATTTCAATAAGTTTTGATAAGATTAGAACCCTTGAATTTTCTTCCTTGATAATGACATTATTGGTGAACCAATTAGTACTTAATTAACACAAAAATAAAAATATAATTTAATTGCTTCTATAATTTCTTACAAAACATTAGCTATCTCAAATGGTTAAAAAAATTTACTATTTTTTATTTGTTTGAATTCAAATCCATTAAAAACTCGTAGAAATGTAATTTTTTTATGAATTAATTTGATTAACATAGATAAATTTATTTGAATCGATTAAAAAAATCGAATGAAATCCAAAAAGTTTTTACTCGACAAAAAAAAAATTATACAAATAAATCGACAACTTTTTTTTCCATGTTGGAACCCTTAAATTCTTTCAATTCTCTCAACTTTTCTTTTACTCCATTTCTTTTCTTACTTTTTCTTCTTTGACTAACTTGGGAAAATTTTGGAATGCATCGACTTAAATGAGACTTTCCTTCCAAAATGGAAGAAATACATTGCGTTTTTCAAACTTTTTGGTTTAGCAAAGAATAAATATTGATCCAATTTGATTAAACTATCTAGGTGTAAAAGCAATGAATTAATGCACCTTCCCTTGGTTGGTAAGGTATAAAAGACATTGCCAAGTAAAGAATAAACCTCTTTTTTGTGTACCATATTTTTGCCTAAAACTACAAAACATTTTTTCAGACTTCAAAATGATATGTAGGCCAAGAAAATGCAAGATCCCTAAGCTTTTTTTTATTAAAAAAATAATTATTACTATTTTTATCAAGAAAATTTGACTTATAGTTTTTAATTATATGAAATCTATATTATTTTTATATATTTAATCAATAATTCGATTTTAATTATGTAATTAGTATACTCTAATGCAAATAATTCACTCATTTTTTTAAGAGATAGATTCTTATAAAATTAGGGTTAATCTCCGATCTTTGTAATTTTTTTTATCTCTTTAAATTTCGATCTCTTTTATTTTAAAAAAAATTAAGCAATTTGCAAACTTCATTTTGAAAAGATATTTATGGAATTGGCATGTTATTTATGTAATTTCATTTACAAAATGAATGAAAAAGAAAGAAACATGTCACCATAAACTATTAATATTACAAACTTGTCAAGCAAGGTGATGACTTTGGTGAGCTTTGAACTACTTTTTTTTTTTTTTTCCTTTTCTTATGTGAAATTAAAAGGTATCATCTTTTCCTTTTTCATTAAGGAAGAATTAAAAAAAAAAAAGAAATGTGATTCATGTCATTTTTATATTCAAGTCTTAGTATTGCCTTTTTGTTACCATTAATCTCAAATCAAACTCACATTTCTCTTGGACAACCAAGCAATCTATTTAGTTTGAGACTTTTTTTTCAACAAAAAGTTTATCTCATAATTTTCATATTCTACTTGTACTTGTATATTCAAGAAATGAATATGAATTGATTATATCAAAAATCATATAATCTATTAATAAAATATTAAATATTAATTTTTATGATAAGACTTTGATCTAAAAAACTTCATATATATATATATATATGTATATAAAAAAGATTTATATAAAGTTTCATAACTGAAGCTCGTGACATTTCTAATCAGAAATTAGTAAATAAAAACTAAAATTAAAAATCAAAATTGATAAATTAAAAAGTTTTATTACACAAATCAAATGTGCAAAATTTGAAAAATTTTAATAAATTTTGATTTATTTATTAAATAGATATTTTTAATAAAAATATTGATAAATTTTTAATGTTAAATAAAAATCGATCAATTTTAAATTATAAATAATATTTTTAATAATTTTTTATATATTATTGATTTTCACATCAAATTCTATTAATTTATTAATTTGAATTTTTTATTAAAATTTTTATTTACTCATTTTTAATAAAAATTTTTTATGAATTTCACCTATAAAACTTTATATAAATTTTATCCACATATATATATATATATAATGTTACCTTAAAAAATAAAAATAAAAAGGGAAAAAGAGTCAAACAATTGATATAGTTATAGTCAGCTTTATCTTAAATTTCAACTTGAGAAATAAGGCAAAGGGAGAAGACACATTTGGTTTAGGGACAAAATTAATTAGTTGTAACGAGTTGCATAGCGCTTTACAATGGCAAAAATGTCAAAAGATTAAAGGTAGTGTTTTTGGTTTTTTTCAAAAGTAGAAGTGTGGAAACCAAAGAACAATTACATCAAAGGAAACTTTTCTTTTTTCATCAATGAATTTTGACTTAAATGGCAAGAAAATTTTTTCTTCCCCTTGTTGTCTCAATTCAATTCGAATTCGATAGAAAATTATGAAAAATAAATTTTGAAGAATCCATTAATTTTAACATAAATAAATTTATTTAAACAAATTTAAAAAATTATATTGAAATCAAATTTATAAAATTTTTATTGCTAAAAAACCCTATTTCATGCAAGTGGCACACATTCATGTTAAATCGAGTTATGTCTATAACAGCTACAATTCATGGTCCCCTTGCAAACTTCACTGTCTCGTCCCAAGAAACGACTAGGACACTAATTTTATCCCATAAAGCATATGGAGTATATTGGTTTGGTCAATGGGGGCTTCCCCATTTTCTTTCTTTGCCTACCCCAAACTTTACTCCAAAAGAAAAACCACATGAAACTTTCTTTTTCATTCATTTATAGACCATGTTGCACGTTCCATGTCACCCTTTTCTCGTGTTAGAATTTGAACCATACAAAAAATTTTTAAAAAATCGTGATTAAATTTTAATAGTTGAATAATTATTTTACGAAACTTTATTTGGTTTTTGATATTTATGAAACAATGATTTTATTATAATAATTTTGTAATATTTTAATATCACATTCAGGGATTTTGAAGATCTGTTATAATATAAAAATAAAAATTTAAATCTAAATTTATAAAATATTTTTTGAGAGATAAAATCGTAAAATTTTTAAATTAAAGTAGATAACATTTCGTAAGTTGATTATAAATTTTCACAAATAACATCAACATGATTCTTGTGATTCTAGTTTTATGGCTCTATATTAATGGAGAGTTAAATGCGACATAATTGAGGTACCTTTAAAATTTTAATGTCTGATGTAATTTTGATTATGTGATTTTATATCAACAAAAAAAGTTTGTAACATCTTAATTTTATATCGAAAAATTTTAAAAATTTGATATAATATATAAATAAAAATTTAAACAAAAATTTATAAAATCACAAAATCATAAAATTTTTATATTAAAATAAATAATATATCATAAATTAAATATAAATCTTCACAAACTTACTACAATAATGATTGCTATATATTAGAGTAACTTTTTCTATTTGTGAATGAAATGATATGTGATCCGAATTGATCGTAGAATTAGAAAAAGATTAAAGATAATGTGAACAATTTGAGCTTTCTAGACACGTGATAAAGAATGTTGCATGATGATTATTTTATTTAATTATTTATTTATTATTAATTGGAATTGAGGTTGATATTTGTAAGATTTCTTTGTCTGTAATGGGATAAGTAGTAAGGATCAAGAAGTGGGATTGAAAGTTACATTATACTATTCCGGACTGGGTCTTATGTGGGGTTTTTATTGTTTAAAGGGAAAGAGATTGATTGACTCATAAACACTTTGAAAAGCACAGAAAGCCTCCTTCTCACCCAGATTCACTGACAAAAAGATAATTGTAATTTGAATTTGAATTTAATTTAATTAATTTATTTTTAAAAATTAATATTTAATAATTTAATTAATTTCAAATTTTAATATTTATAAATTTTTTATATAAAAAATAAATTTGATGGTTCATATGTGATGTAAAATATTTATAATTTGTATATTTATATTATATTTTATAAAAAATTATATATCATAATTTATATCATATAAAATGTATTTTTTAATTTTAATTGAATATTTTTGTATTATTTACATTTTATAAATTATAAAAATAAAAAAATTTCTGCCAACATTAACTCTTCAATTCCAGAAGGAAAAAAATGGAAGCCTGCGTCCAGTCGGTGAGATTACAAATAGGGTACAAAATTTTCATTCATCGACAATTTCATCACCCACTTTTGTGATTGTTCATTTGCTGTACCAGTCATCCACGTGTAAGGATAGGATTTTGCTATGTCGTCATAGAAAATCTAGTCTCAGTTTCCTTAACTTCAGCATGGGAGTTTACAGTAACACCCCTCTCAATTTGAAATGTTATTGCAAAATGTGAAACAACATGTGGCTTAAGTGTAATTTTCCCTGGATTTTGTGGCCTTTTTCTTTTTTTTGGTGTTAAGGCAATTATACAATGCCGGACCATCTATGTTAAGTTGTCATGGTTAGTACTTGTCTTATAAAAGCGGCAAAGCTAACTACTCTCGCTTTCTAACACTAATGCAAGCTCCTCACTTTTGTTCATATTGTCTTTCTCACACTTCTTCTAAAGTTTGCAACTTTCAGACATCAAGGAAGAGATCTTTGGAACTTCAACTGAAAGTAAGGATTTTTTTTTTCTTGATAAAAAACTAGGTGGTGGTATAGGGGTTTTTCTTTTAAGACAGTTTCATTTGTTGGGTTGTCTTAAATTGTTGAAGTTAAGGAGCTTTTCATGTTTTGTTTTTTTTTTTTATGCTAGTTCATGCACTTTCTATGTTAGGCTTTTAGATGAGAAATGAAAGGAATTTAAAGCTCATGTGGGTGCAAAGATAGGAATTTATAGTTATTGGGTTGGTTTTTGTTTCTGTTTTGGTGAATTTGATTGGATTGGAGGGTGTTTACTGTTCATATTGTGATATAAAAAGGGAAATTTTTGGTTAATAAGAGGAAGGTTATGGCTCTGGCTCTTTCTCTGGCTCTGGCTTTGGCTTTGGCTTTGGCTTTTTTCTAGTGAACTAATGGTTAAGTTGGAAGATTAATGTGGTTGATAGTTGTGAGGGAAATCTAGGTGGTTTTGTGATTTTATTGGCAAAGAGAGACCCCCATTTGGACTCAAGCTGTGGAAATGGCTAGAGTAAGGAAAAGAAGTATACATTTAAGCAAACTTTGCTCATTTGCATGTTGTCGACCTACTTCCACAGATGAACATGCCCAAATTGGGCAAAAAGGGTACTCAAGAGTGGTGTATTGTAATGAACCTGATAGTCAAGAGCAAGTTCGCCTAAAGTATAGGGGAAATTATGTTTCCACTACCAAGTATACAGCAGCTAATTTTATTCCAAAGTCTTTGTTTGAGCAGTTTAGGAGGGTTGCAAATATATACTTTCTTGTTGTAGCTTGTGTTTCATTTAGTCCGTTGGCACCGTATTCAGCACCTAGCATTCTTGTGCCCCTGATTGTGGTGATTGGAGCTACAATGGTCAAAGAAGGTGTGGAAGATTGGAGGCGAAGACTGCAGGTGATGCTTGAATTTCTTCTTCTCCTTTCAGTGTTTTGCTGCTATGTCTTTGTGCTTCAACTCCCTTCACCCTCCTTTTTTTTCCATCATTTTTCATTTATTACTATTACTTTGCTTCCTAATGAATTCTTTAGGTTCAAACTGTATTCATTAAAAGAAAAACAATAAAGAATAAAGCAATTGACTATTTTGTATTGAGCGAAAATAACTGAAATAAGAATTAGTTCAATCTAAAACATATGCATTTAATGAATAGGAGAAATCATGCTGTAAACTAAGTCAGAGAAATTTCCCAATGTTATTCGTAAATCAGTTGCATCCCGTGATATGCCATCAAAATTCATGACTAAGGTCTTGATCTTTATGTTGTTCCGGAAAATAACAGTGACTATTATTAACAACCATGCTGTTTTATTGTCATGGCAATTTTAATTTGTTTTTCCATATTAATAGTGGGAAGATGACTCCTGTACTGTTCTTTCTTCTTTGTTATTAATCTGATTCCAAAATAGATGCAACATGATTGAATTAACTGCTTTGTTTCAACACCTAAGATGACTTGATCTAGAAATATTAAATTTAGAAAAATAAAAAGCAAGTCAAAGGGATTTCAGGACAAAAGTGCCATATCTGATGGTCCAAACTCATGAGCTTGGTAATAGTAATTAATGTCTTCTACATCTGATAGGAGGTTTTATATGCTTTGTTACGATTATAAAAAATGAAGCATGTGTGATGTTTTTTCTTATTGCCATCCCATAAAAACAGTGGAAAAATAGAATTTTGGTGTGATGCAACATATTCGAGATAGTTTCTTGATTGCTTTATTCTCAGAATTGTTTATGGATTGATCATCTTCATATATGCCAAGATGACTGTTGGTAGTATTTAAGCCATAGAGGAAACACCATTGCAAGTTGAGGTAACATCCTCCATATGCTAGCCTTAATACCTTGGTGATCATATTGGAAACATGTTGTCGTATATCTGTCACTTTATAATGGCTAATTAAACCATTGAATCTTTCTTGTGTCTGCAATTTATTTTCTCAAGAAGTATAATGAGGATTATTTTCATGACAATAATAGTTATAATTTCATTTTTGCCTTCATTTTAAGATAACAAACACATTTAGTTTTCCTAAATTATACGATGTTTGCTAAGCTATTGGCTTTTAACTGGTTATAATTTATATGGCTTGTAACTGGTTATAATCTATATTACTGGTTTCTAGGAGAACCTTATTTGGCTTCAGCGTTGGAATTTATTCTAGATGTAAATTTCGTTTTCTGATTGCTTACATACTGAAATGTGTTTCTGGTGCCTTTGTCAGCCATCTGCTCCTTATTTGGTTCTTGAAATGTATTGCTTTTCTTGCTTCTGTCTGGTGCCTAGCTTGTCCACAGCCTTTCATCTTCATGGGGTGCTCTTCCTTCTGACAAATTTCTCTTTGAATTTATGTAAGATATCTAAAGTAGCTTTTCCATGGTTTCAGGATGTACAGGCAAACAATCGAAAGGTTGAAGTTTATGATGAAAGTAGTCGTTCTTTCGAAGAAACGAAATGGAAGAATCTTCGTGTTGGTCACCTTGTTAAGGTGTGTAAGGATGAATATTTTCCAGCTGATCTACTCCTACTTTCTTCATACTATGATGATGGCGTTTGCTATGTTGAGACAATGAACCTTGATGGAGAGAATAATTTAAAGTTGAAGCACGCCCTAGAGGTAACATCCTCCCTGCGTGACATACAGACCCTAAAGGAATTTAGAGCAGTGGTCAAGTGTGAGGACCCAAATGAACATCTTTATTCTTTCATTGGAACATTGCACTATTGTCATCGACAATACTCACTTTCCCCACAGCAGATTCTTTTGAGAGGTTCTAAACTGAAAAATACTGATTATATCTATGGTGTGGTTATTTTCACTGGACATGACACAAAAATAATGCAGAATGCTACTGATCCTCCTTCCAAGAGGACCAAGATTGAGAGGAGGATGGATAAGATAATTTATGTCCTTTTCAGTACTCTGATTTTGGTATCATTCATAGGATCTCTGTTTTTTGGCGTTGAAACTAAGAAAGATATTAGCGGTGGTAATTATAGAAGGTGGTATCTTCGACCAGATAGCACAACTGTATTCTATAACCCCAGAAGTGCATCAGTGGCTGCATTTTTGCATTTCTTGACAGGCCTTATGTTGTATGGATACTTGATTCCAATATCATTGTATGTTTCAATTGAGATTGTCAAGGTTTTACAAAGTATTTTCATTAACCAAGATCAGGCTATGTATGATGAGGAAACCGATAGACCAGCACAAGCAAGAACATCTAATTTGAATGAGGAACTTGGTCAGGTTCATACTATACTTTCTGACAAAACTGGAACTTTGACATGTAATTCAATGGAGTTTGTGAAATGCTCAATAGCTGGCACTGCCTATGGTTGTGGCATGACAGAAGTAGAAATTGCTCTGGCAAAAAAAAGAGGCGAGAGATTGACTGAACCAATGTCCACTGATACGGTTGACTCAGGAAAATCTGTTGATACTGTCGACTCGGGAAAATCTGTTAAGGGTTTCAACTTCAGAGATGAACGCATTATGAATGGCCAGTGGGTGAACGAACCTCAGTCAGATGTCATACAGAAGTTCTTTCGGGTCTTAGCAATTTGCCATACAGCAGTTCCGGAAGTAACAGAATCTGGTGAGATTATTTATGAAGCTGAGTCAGCAGATGAAGCAGCCTTTGTCATTGCTGCACGAGAAATTGGTTTTCAGTTTTTTGTACGGAATCAAACCAGCATAAAATTGCATGAATTAGATCCTAGAAGTGGGCAAACAGTTGACAGGTAATCTTTTTGGAACCTTTTTACATTATGTTCTTAATCTTTTATGGACATTATCTATCTTATCTAGGAAAAAGGAAGGCTGGTGGTTTCACTAATGAATTCATATACCACTCCCTGGCATATTTATATAAGGTTTTGTCAAGTTATTCAGTAACTTTTTGTATAAACATAAGATCAACTGCTTGAAAAGGCAACTGTGAAAGACCAATTTTTTTCAAGTAATGGTCTTTCTTGTGCAAACGAAAGGTATCCCTTTTGCTAGTGAAGCTGCATTACATTCAGTTTTGCTCATCCCTTTTTCCAGTGAATGTAGATGCTTTATAATGATTATTGATAGTGAAAATAATACTATTGATTTTTCTGCTAAGTTACAATGGCAATATAGGTATATAGTATTATAAATATAGGTATATAAATAGAAGTCTTGTTGGTGGACATTCTTGTACAAATAGGGAAAATAGTGATTGATTTTATTCCTCTCTCTATTTTTTGGTCTTTATGGAGGGATAGAAACAGGGTAGAGTTTAAATGGAAAATTACTCCGGTTAAGGCTCTTGGATTCTTGGTTTTACACGCTCATCATGTACTTCTATCAGAAGATAGCTGCTAGGCTGCTAAGCTCCATTAGCTAAAGTTGGGTACTTAAAGGAAGCTGCTGGTTACTCACTATATGCATAATCTGTTGCTATTACTTTATCCCACTTTTATTTTTCCTCATTCGCTATGCGAAACTTCACAATGCGTGTGAATGAATAAGTTTCTACATTTCAGAGTATACAAGCTTCTTCATGTGTTGGAGTTTAGTAGCGCTCGCAAAAGGATGTCTGTAATTGTAAGGAACCCAGAGAACCAAATATTGCTTCTTGCTAAGGGTGCAGACAGGTCAGAACTCATAACCAATTAATTCTCCTCGTTCAGATGTATTGTGGTGGAATTTTATGTAGTTTTAAAATAGATCAGTTGATGTAGAATTTTATTTATCACTATCTATTCAGTGTGATATTTGAAAGGCTTTCAGAACAAGGGTGTGTGTTCGAGGCACGGACCAGGGAGCATATTGAAAGATATACTGAGGCAGGATTACGAACTTTGGCCGTCGCATATCGTGAGATTGGTGATGATGAGTATACGACATGGGAAGAAGAATTTATGAAGGCCAAAACTTCTGTACGTGCTGACCGAGACGATTTGGCGGATGAGCTGGCTGACAAGATTGAAAGGGATTTAATTCTTCTGGGTGCCACAGCTGTTGAAGACAAACTACAAAAGGGGGTCAGTTACACTAGTTCAAGATGTGTAGCAACGGTTATTTATATAACTCCTAGTGAAACTTATGAATCTGTGATCTATGTCACCTATCTCAAAACTTGCTCTAATATATCTACCATCTTATTAATGTTGTATTCTAATTTGTGCACATAAATAAGTTTGTTGTCTAATTTAAATTACTTATGGCTTGTATAAATTGCTATATTCTTCTGGTATGTAGGTCCCACGCTGTATTGACAAGCTTGCACGTGCTAGAATTGGAATATGGGTTTTGACAGGCGACAAGAAGGGAACTGCTATTAATATTGGGTATTAGAACAAGTTGAATTGAACTCATCATCTATGGTTTAGTATAAACATAAATGTTATGAGTACTATATTTCTACAGGTATGCATGCAGTCTACTAAGACATGGAATGAAGCTGATTGTGATCACGCTAGAGTCACCAGAAATTAAAGCCCAGGAAAAACATGGGGATAAGGAGGCCATTGCGCAGGTATAGACTACTTTGTTCTAAAGTGATGTTAAAGCAGCCTTATCGGAGAAAAATCTGATTCTATTATTATTATTATTATTAGGCTTCTCTTAAAAGTGTAAAAGGGCAAATACATGAGGGAAAATCTCAAGTAGCTAGTGAACATTCAACTGAGTTTGGTTTGATAATCGATGGCAAGTCCTTGACTTTTGCTCTGGACAAGAATCTGGTAAACTGCTTTATGGATCTGGCAACGCGTTGTGCTACTGTCATATGCTGTCGCTCTTCGCCCAAACAAAAGGCTATTGTAAGTATCATGTTTAGGGGAATGAAGTACGGTATGGGAGTTTCATGAAGATTATCAGGCTCTGTTGTTACTGACATGAAAATAATCTGATAGAATTCTAGAAGATATGCAGGTTACAAGACTGGTGAAATCTGTAACTGGTAAAACAACACTAGCAATTGGTGATGGGGCAAATGATGTTGGCATGCTTCAAGAGGCTGATATTGGAGTTGGAATCAGTGGCGTTGAAGGGATGCAGGTAAAAATATGTTTCTTCATTCGTGTAGTCTTATCTTATGATTTGTAATTTTTCATTTCTTCTTTTTGGGGATTAGGGAAACCAAAACATTTTATGATCTACTTTCTGAAGATGTTTTTTCAGTGGGACCACTAATCGTTTTGTATATAGCCTAGGCATGAAGTGATTTTTGCTACTGATCCTCTTATCATCATCAACTTGACTCTTGTCTTCTTCCACTGGTAACCTAGTTTTCTGCGTCAGTTTGTGGCTGATGCTTCCAATTTTATGGATTTGTTAAGATGGGTGGTGACAACCATTTGCTGCTTGGTAGGGATTTTTGAGCAACCATCAGAAGACGTGGTAGCTAAGACCAAAAGGGAGCGATAGATATATCTGTTTGTCGTCTCCATGAGATTTTGATTTCTTACTTCATTTATCTTTTATCTCGTCTGTTACTTTAGAGAATTCATTTCTACTTGCTCCCAGAGATCTTAGTAGATTTTTGCTTTTCTTTTTGACAATCACAATTTTGCTTTCTTAGAAGCTTTTCTATGATGTTTTTCTTTAGATCATATGGTCTTTTAAAGTACTTTTCAAAATTCAAGCTATATAACCGTAATTGTGTGGTTCCTGATTTTACTTTTAATAACTATTATGACTTGCAGGCTGTGATGGCAAGTGATTTTTCAATAGCTCAATTTCGTTTTCTGGAACGTTTATTATTGGTGCATGGCCATTGGTGTTACAGGCGAATAGCAATGATGGTAAAACTGTTCTGTCATGTTCTGCTCTTTCTCCAGAACTAAACTGAGATAATCCTATGATTTTGGCATCTTGAGAGTGAGAATAATTGTTATGGTTTATTACCTTTTGCCCAATCTGTATTCTTGTTTTAGCTGTAGATTATTTTCTTCAAAATGGTGTTCATTCCTTGAATGTAGAATAAGATCTTTGACAAATTTTTGGGTGTTCTCTTCCATTTTCTTTTGCGACAGATTAGGCAAACATATAACAAAATGAATTACCCATTCATTTTCTGGTCACTGCAGATATGCTACTTTTTCTACAAGAACATCACTTTTGGATTTACTTTGTTTTGGTTTGAGGCCAACGCTTCTTTCTCTGGCCAGCCTGCTTATAATGATTGGTACATGTCATGCTACAATGTCTTCTTCACTTCGCTTCCAGTAATCACTCTTGGTGTTTTTGATCAGGACGTTTCAGCCAGACTTTGCCTCAAGGTAAAAAATTCTTTATATTAATACTTGATACCTTGAAGAGTTGATACAGAAGTTAGGGGCTTAAAAAAAAAGTGAGATAGGACATTCGTGAATAGCAACCCTAACTGGGTTTTAACTTTTAACCTTCAAGGTTTTATCTGTCAATGAATTGATTATGTGAATGAGTTATAGTGGGAAGGGAAGGGTCCCCCGATTCTGTTGTCATTCCTCCTACTGTCAATCCTGATAAAATTCACTTCTCCTGAGTTACACATAACGACGTGGCTTCAAAATGATGATAGTTTTCTTTATCAGTATGGTCATTGTTGTTTTCAACATTTAAACCCCAAATTGAGTTTCTGAAATATGTTTTTCTGCTTCAAAAATATTAAACTGTGCTGCTAATCTGTTGGTTGAGAATTGCTCCTGATCTTGGATAAATTTGGCATTTTTGCAAGATCTTATACATGGCATGCCAACTGAGTACAATTCTTATATTTTACTATTTGTCTAGCTGTAGAGCATGTTACAGTAAATGTTATAGTTGCAATTTCACCGCAAAGAAGGAACTTGGTGACGAGTTTTCTGAACTGCTGTCTCCTGTGCAAAAGAACTCAGAACGACAATCTTTTTTTTTTGCAGCATCCTTTATTATACCAAGAGGGCGTACAGAATATCCTCTTCAGCTGGATCCGCATACTTGGCTGGATGTTTAATGGAGTTCTTAGTTCCATAATTATATTCTTCTTAACCACCAACTTGATAATTGGTCAAGCATTCCGCAAAGATGGTCAAGTTGCCGATTATGCAGTTCTCGGGGTGACAATGTATACATGTGTAGTTTGGACAGTAAATTGCCAAATGGCACTCTCCATCAATTACTTCACATGGATACAGCACCTGTTTATCTGGGGAAGCATTGCCCTTTGGTATATATTCTTGGTGGTTTATGGTTATATCCCACCTACATTATCTACAACAGCATACAAGGTTTTTGTGGAAGCTTGTGCTCCGAGCATTGTTTATTGGCTCACCACCCTTCTCGTTGTTATTGCCACATTGCTACCTCTCTTTTCTTATAGGGCTTTTCAGATCAGGTTTCGACCTATGGAACACGATAAAATACAAAGACAGAGGTCAGAAGGCTCGGAACATGATAAAATACAAGGACGAAGGGCAGAAGGCTCGGAACATGATAAAATACAAGGACGAAGATCAGAAGGCTCGGAACATGATGTAACAGAAAGCACAGGTACCCGAAATTCTACTGACTTGCCTTCAGAGATTAGGATCAGAATAGATAATCTAAAGGCAGGTCCAAGGAGCAAGAACTCATGATACTGGTGATATGATTAGGGTTCTTTTTTCTCTGTATATGCTACCGTCGCAATTTAAGTGTAGATGGAGAGGAGAGCATGAAAATTGGAATTGCTTCTGCTCAACTTCATGTGTACATTACGTATGTAAATCTGATTTATGAAGTCTTGGTAATGCATGCCTCTGCTTCAAACATACTGACCTCACATATATGTAATTATATATTTTTCGTAAGCTTGTCTTACTTTTTGAATGTGCAATGAAGCTGATGATGCTCTTTCTTCAATTTTCCCAACAACCAAACATCATTTTCAGTCCAACAATAGTAGATTTCATACGAGGATGCTGTCATGGAACAAAGTAGCATTTTCTTACTGAAATGCTTACAGGCATATATGACTGATGCCTCCAGTTCGTTGCATGTGTGAAGTTTCTCTTTTAATCTATACTGAAAACAGAAAGAGCTTGTGTTTTGAGTGGTGATGGGGAACATCTCATTTTTCCTAGTGCTGATGGGGCATGATAGAAAGGGGGTCGAAGCTCTGAATGTGGATTTTAAGCAGCTTTCCTCTTATAAGAGGTGGCCTCTGGTTTCATTGGTTGTTGGCTCGACTGCTTATAGGGTGTAATCGAACTGAACATTTAACGATCCGTGACAGATTTTCAAAATTTTTATTCATTTATATTTATTTAATCATATTTTAAAAACTATTAAATAAACAAACAAATCACGAATAAAACAAAATTTACAATGGAAAGATATCTATGCATTAAAACACTACCCCCTCCCCTCCCCCCCGCCCCTCCTTTTTATTTATTTTGAGTCATTGCCTAAGCAAGCATGATATGACAGTTCTTCAAATACCCCTTTATCTAAATCAATCATGTTTGGTTTCCCACCGTTAAGATCTGCAGATGATTTTCATTGATATACGGCTCTAGCGTCTAGTACATGTGTTACAGATCTAAAAAAAAGTCTTAAATTTCAAATAGAACATAATAAGAAATTTATTAAAATATAAAAAGATTCACATCATTTTTTTTTATAAGACGTCTTTTATAGGATAAAATCGTGAGGTCAAGAGGGTCAGAGCAGACAATACCTCACAAAGTGTGAACCGTGACGGTTAGACTGATCTGAAGACACCGGATGAGTGGATGCCAGGGTCTCGGAGCTGCGCGGATTCAGAGTTTAAGTCTCGACCTGTGACAAGTAGTATCAAAGTCAGCCCTAAACCGTTCGAATCCACGCTTAAGTCTCAACTCGTGACAAGTGGTATCAGAGTCAGCCATAAATCGTTCGATCCACACCAAGCAACTCGAGGGAGGTAGGTAGGGTGGTCAGCTTCCGTGACTCAAGAGAGATAGGCAGGGTGGTCAACTTTCGTGACGAGGGAGTCACGAGGTTGGGTGGGAGAGAATGTCACGGACTTAAAGAAAAGTGCTTAATCTCACATCGAACATAATAAGATACATCGAATATAATAGGATGGTCAGAGGTTGGGTGGGAGAGAGAGAATGTCACGGACCTCAGAAAAAATCTTGAATCTCACATCAAACATAATAGGAGGATCACTGGAATATAAAAATGTTCACATCATCTCTTTTTTGTGAGGTGTCTTTTGTAAGACAAAACCGTGAGATCATGAGAGTTAGAACGAATAATACCTCATAAGAATATAAATAATGACGGTTAGACTGATCTGAAATATCAAAAGAGTGGATACCCGAAATAACAAAAATTTAAAATTTAAATCTTGACCCGTGATACATGCATGAACCCAGTTTATGACCAATCTCTATCAGCCCTAAAATGAGCCAAATCCTTAATTTCCACGAAACCATTTATAGCCTAAACTTATAATAACCATGAAAATCACAAGCACTCAGCCAAACCATGAATCATGCCAACCATACTAACACAGTAATAGTTATCTAATAATGCAAAACATTGTTGGTATAAGGAGAAAAGGACACTTTGCATTCAATAAATATATATATATATATTATTTATTTATTTATTTATTATACTATTACAATGTTTAAAGTTTTGTTTTCGTCGGACAATTTTAAAGATGCATTTTTTTTTATTATCGAACTTACATATTTATAAAAATCAAACCTAATAAATAAAAAAGAATTTATCTTCTTACCAACTAAATTAATTTGTTTGAGTTTTTTTTTTTTTTGGAAACTTATTTAATTTAACAATTAAAAAACAACTAATTTATAGGATGCTGCAAAATTTGAAACCTTTTGCTATATATAATATATTTCGATCATGTTTTAATACATAAGATGATAGATCGAATAAAATAATAATTATTTTATATTATATTTAATTTATATCTAAAAAAATAAGATTGTAAAAAAAATTTATTATTCTATTGGCATAGGATGATTAATTTAATTCTCACTAAGTGAAGATAATTATTTTCAATCTATAAAATTTAATTTATATGTTCAATTATACCTTTGAAAATTATATTAATAATTTAAATTATATAAATTTTGAAAAAATATAATTTTAGTAAATAAATAAATTATTTTATCTTAATCTTTACATGCATCAAACGTAAAACAAGATGATATTATTTAATTTAATTCTATTTATAATATTATCTTATTTTATCATAATTTTATATACCCAATACATTATTCGTTTTTTAGGCATCGTTTGTTTTTGTTTTTATTTTTTATGTTTATTTTCAATTTTTTTAAAAATTGAAAACAAAAACATTTAGTAGATTGTTTTTGTTTTCTGTTTTTGAAAATTGAACATAAAATTTTAGAAAGTGTTGAAAACAGAAAAATGGTGTTTTTAATTTTTTTAAAACAATTTGTCAATGTTATCACCGGGTACTATTTACAAAAATTACAATTAAACCGTTATAGTGATGTTACAAATAATATATTATTAAAATAATATTTTTATTATATAAATAAGATATTAATTAATATTATTATATTTATTATATAAATAATATATTATATTAATAACATAATATTATTTCTTTTTAATATAATATTATATTAATGAAATATATGATTAATATAATATTTATTTATATATATTATATGAATATAATATATTATTATAATAATATAATATTTATAGATAATATATTAAAAAATAAATAATATTATATTAATAAATACTATATTAGTAAATATTATTATTTTAATATTATTATATTATTAATATCAAATGAAGTTTAAAAATTTTAACCACTTTTTTTTACATATTTTTATTTTCATATTTTTAAAACAAAAATATTTTATCCAAACATATTTTCAAAATCAATAAACTAAAAATAAAACAAAATAAATTTTTTTAAAATATAAAACTTAAAATATAAAATATAAAACACACAATAATATCAAACCACCCCTTAAATTTCATTTTATGATTTGGGCTATCTTCTCAAAATTCTTTACTTCACCATCAAGAATATGATGTTGGCAAATTTGTTTGACTTGTGGCAAACATTAAAGGGCAAAATGAAATCACATTCACACCCAAAGGTGACAAGAAAACTCCAAAGCCATCTAGAAATACAACCCAATATCAAGGCAAGTGGGACCTTTAAGCTTTAACATTATTAGAATTTTTAGCTCCTAAAAGGCTATCACAGCTATATTAATACACTTTTGTTAGTGCAACTCCAAAGCCATTGCATTCCATCCATCAAGGAATCTGGAAATTCTACTTATTTTATGGGGTTTTTTTTTCCTCAATGAAAATATTATTTTTTAAAAAATTTGACATAAATAAATTATTTTAAAATTTTTTTATAAATTTATTAATTTATGTATTAATTTCATAAAAAATATTAAAAATTTATATATTTTTATTATATTTTATAAAAAAATTATGTTTTATAATTTATATCGATATAAAAATATAAAATAAATAGTTTTTTAATTTTTATTTTTATATTTTAAATTATATTATTTTTATATCATATTATCTATTATATTGAAAATTACCAAGTTTTTTTTTTATTCTTTTTTTTGTGTTAAAAAACCAATTACATCAAGTACAATTAATTAAAGGAATTAAATATGCATTAATTAGTTATATTTCTTAAAATTTACACAAAACTACTTTACTTATACAAAGCAATGAATATAAAATAAAAGGACTACGGAAGTATTAATTGTTAATACAATGACAATGAAATCAATTTTAAAATTAAAAATTTGAATTTAATTTTTAATTTTAATAAAAAATAAAAAAAATTTCTAATCAATCAACTCATGCATTCGTTTTTTTTAAAATATAATAATTTAAAATATAATATTAAAATAATAAAAATATAAAATATAAAAATAACATAATTTAAAATTTTAATAAAATTTATACATAAATTTAATAAAATAAATATATATTTTATATTTTTACATCGAAATTATGATATATAATTTTTATATCAAATATAAATTATAATATATAATTTTTATAAAATATAATATAAATATATAAATTATTAATATTTTATATAACAAAAATGCATAGATTATTATATCCATTTTATCCATGATTTTCCTTCTAGAAAGTCCACCGTTTTGCAAATTTATTTTTCCAAAAACATTTCTAGAACTGACAGAATGATTTCAGGTTTTGTTTAGTCGTGTTTTTCAAGTACGTTTCAAGAATAGTGACCGGCAAATCCGACTTTTTTTTTTAAAATTTTTTAATCTACTAAGATCTGAAAAACTGGGATCTCGAAACTTCCATTTTGAAAATAATACACGACCTTCAAGAAAAAAAATTATTTTTGTATTCATTTAATTAAAAATAATTTTTAATCTATTAATATTGGATTTTATTAATGAGTTTATTTATGTTGCTTTTAATATTACTATATAGTAAGATATTTACTCAATGCATTAAGAATCATTAATAAAGTTATAAAGTATTACATTTAATACAATATTATTACTATAAGTAATGTAGTAATTAATTTTTAAAATATTTAAATATTATATCTTAAAATATATATCTAATTAAATTTTGATTTCTATAATTAAGGAAAGATGAAATTAATTACACACATAAAAGTATTTTCTAGAACAAGAGAATTAATTAAGTATTTAACAAAAATTAATATCACAAATCACTTGTTAAAATCACTCTTAAACTTCTTATTTATACAATAACTATAAAGGGTTAACTTTGAAATTATTTATAATTGTTCATTGATTGAGAATTGAATTTTTAATTTTAGTAATCAAATTTAATCCCTAAAATCTCAAATAACAACAAAAAGATTTGTTATTATAAAAGTTTGTTAATTTTATAAATTTATTTTAATAAAATGCATTTTAACCTCCTAACCATCAATGTATATGAAATTAAAAATGATTTGTATTTTACTTATATATAAAATGTTTTCAAACCACATTCTTTTATAATACTAATAATTTAGAATACAATTTAATTTTTTTCTTTTTTTCAATTTAATAATTTTTTCAATATTAATAAAAATTTAACATTTTCAAGTACAATTAAATTTTAATTACAGCTAAACAAACAAAATTTTTTTAATCGAAACATTGTAATTAATTTCTATCGAGTATTAGCATCCAAATCTATTTTAAAAAAATACAAAATCACAAACAAATCTCCCTAAATCTAACAAAGGCTTTCTTTACGATTGAGGTGGGAACAGGCTTCGGCGCTAAGTCCAAAAAATCGTTTTCATCCCAACCTTAATGCTAAATTATTAAAAGATTTGACCTTTGCGATTAAATTTAATTTTTCGTATATTTATACAATATATATTATTAAAATTTATATATTTATATTTAATTTTATATAATAATTATATATTATAATTTATATTATACACAAATAAATTATATTTTTTTAATTTTATTATATTTATATATAATAATTATTAAAATTTTAAATTAAATTAAATTTATTTTTTATATCATATTCATATTTAAAATTAACAAATTTATTTGTGATAATATAATTTAATTTTACAAGACACTCAAAAACTTCTTTAAAATTGTATTTGACATTTAAACGTAATATTGAGATAAATTTATTTTTTTATTTTTATAATTTAAATTTTATATTTTATAGGAGTACATATTTTTTAAAATATTTTAATACATGTATTTTTTTTTTTAAAATCAAGGATAGATAGATTCCTTCAAATCAAAATAAAATATGTCATATTTGATAATTTAAAACAAATAACTGTACATCGTATATTCGAGATGATTTCAACAAATAATCATCGACAAAACTCGAACCAAAAATTTTTTTTTTGAAAATGATAAATCTTAACTGATTAAACCAATCACTTATTAATATACATCAATAATATTTTTTAAAATAACATTAAACCCTTAAAATTTTAAATACATTTTTGTAATCAATATTCATAAATACTTTCCGCGAAACCGAAATTAATCACACCAAACTCATTCACACGTGTAAAACATTAACGGAACCGGTCACAAAAAAAACAAGTTCCCAAAATTGTCAACAAGGTTGGTTTTTAATTGCATTGCTTATCCTATATAAAGAGACTCACACGCTTCCAAAAAAAAAAAAAAAAAACCTTCAGAATTTTTATCTTTTTTTTCTTAATTTTTCCGACGCTTCAGATGCAGAACGACAGCTCGGAATTGTCGTTTTGTCCCAGCTTTAACAGCTACTCCTCCGATAATAATAAGCTCGCTGATATCGCTGCTGCGGTTAGCCGAGACTTTCAAAGCGAAGCCGTTTTGGATGATGAAGAATTCGAGTTCGTTAATAATCTCTGGGATTATCCTGAAACGTCGTCGTTTCCAATCTTCAATCGCGATCTCCTGTTGAACCGCGAGGAGGGTGATGATGATAAGGTGGAAGAGGCTATTCGGATTCCGTTGAGGAATTTGTTCATGGGCGACGGAGATCTTCCTTGGTCATCGTCGTCGTCGGAGGCGGACGAGCTTGAAGGAGTGCCAACAGGAACGTACTGTATTTGGAAACCGAAGCAATCGGCAGAATCGTCGCCGAACAGGTGTAAGAAAAGCAAGTCCACAGGGTCATCATCCTCGAAACGGTGGCGTTTGATAAAGGATTTGCTTAAGAGAAGCAACAGCGACGGCACAGTCTCGTCCTCGTCGGTTTTGTCTTTGAATTTCGATAAGCAAACGATAGAGAAAAAGAATGAAGAAAAGGTAAATGAAAAAACATCGACGACAAAAAAGAAATGCGAAAGTGAAGCAGTAAAGGCGACGAAGACGAAGAAAATCGAGAAAGCGTCGGCGCATGAAGTTTTTTACATGAGAAATAAGGCGTTGAAGGAAGGCGATAAACGGCGCTCGTTTTTGCCGTACAGGCAGGACTTGTTTGGAATTTTTACAAATGTTAATGGTTTAGGTAGAAATTTTCCTCCTTTCTAAGTAGCAAAAAAAAAAAAAGAAAATCATAAATCTGTAAAAGAAAAAAAAAAGGGGGGAAATTAATTAAAGTGTAGTAAGTTTTATGAATTTCTTTTTTTGTGTTTGTTCATTTTATTCTTTTTTCTTAAGCTAAAATTGAAAAAACTTTTTTATTAATTAATAACTTTGCAATTAGAAAATAAATATATTTTTTATTTTGTATTATATGTTTGTTAAGAACATTCTTTAAGATTGTTATATTAAATAATTTATTTTTTAAAATTCATTATAACATTAATGAACTATGCCATTCAGTACAAAAATATTAGTATTTTCATTTATTATTAATGTAATTTTTAAATTTTACAGACAAAATTAACTAAATAACACATTCATCTTATAATATATTAAAATAAAAAATTAATTAATTAAAAAAAAGAGATATATGAATCTCAAAAATTTAAAGGATCGCTTTAATTAATCTTAAAGAATGTCCTATATGAAATCTATAATATAAAGAGTTTCTTTTATGTCATTTTACTTTTTCATTTATTAATTTTGGCCAATGCTTCAAAAAATGAAAATGTTTCAATGTTTAATGCAAAGTTTGGCCACAATTTTGTCTTCCCTTTATTGGCTATTAATTATGAAGTGGCATAGCAACCATTGTCTTAATCTTGGGTTTTTTTTTTTTTTTTAATTTGGAATAATTTCTAATTTTAATTTTCACCAAAATTTTTAATTAATAACAAGTAGATAATCTTGACCACCTTGGCCATAAAAAAAAAATCAAATTGACCACTAAGATGGGTTAATTTATTGTAATTTAATATTTTAAGATGGCTTAATTTATTAGATAATATTCAAGTAATTGTCATCTAGAAGCTGTTACTTCAAAATGCAAAATCTAAAAAAAAAAAAAAATCCGATTATTATAAAAAACTTTGAGGTGGAAATTATAGATTAGGACCCTAGTGGTCAAGGCTCTAGCTTAGTAAGCAAGAAATAATTGTGAAAAAAAATATTGTTAATTTTTTAGGATTTAGAGTTTGATTGGATCAGCTGGGAATGGGATGCCAACTTGTTCCTCATGGATTGGATATATATAATTAAAATGTTGTGACATTAAATACTATGACATCGAAATTTTTATGGGTAGTTTTGCAATGCAACAACAGCATGAAGGAAGCAAGAAATATATGTGAAAGAAACCAATAATTGATGGTTAGGTTGTTCACATTTTATGTTTCAAGATTTAATTTTTTTATATAAAATAATATATGAAACTAAAAATTAATCGGATCGATTGTTAATATTTATATATATTTTTATATATTTTTAAGAAACATGTTAAAATATATATTTTTAAGAAACATGTTATGTATTTTCGTAGGTAAAACATATTAGAAATTATTTTTGTAACTCACTCGATGCTTAAATTAGTGGATTATTAATAACTCAATTTTCTTTTTATTGTTCAAGTGATAAGGGTGAAGTGAAATTTTAACAAAAATATTATATTTAAATTTTAATACTAATATTAAGATTTTTGGACGTCTGAACATTTGATTTAATTGATTAGTGTTTGATCCTTGCTCCAATAGTAGGTTTCAAAGAGAAAGGGGTCTAAATTATACTATTGTTGAGCTTTCTAGCTTCCATGTGTAAGCACTTTGGTTAACCTAAATCACTAGTTACGTCTTAGTCTATTTTGGACCATCATGCATCACATCTTCATATTTGTCCAATTTCCATCATAATTTCTTGTCACTTTTCAAAGAAAAAATTTCCCCCACTTAATTTGCACCAATCAAGGAAATTTTCAAAAGAAAAAGAAAGGATGCTTCCCTTTCCCTTCCTTTTTATTATCTCTTAAAAAACGTAGAAAAATGGGCAGTCAAGTAGAGCTGTCAATTAATGTTAATGTATCATATTTTGTATTAAACATAATTTTAGATATAATATAAATAATTTTGATATGAATATAATAAAAATAATTTAAACACGAACATAATATATTTATTATACATGTTATATGTGATACAATACGATTAATACGTTTAACATTAATTTATTTGATATAACTTAAGTAATACGATATGATTAATACAATTAAACACAAATAATATGATTATACATGATTAATCTATTTATTTAAATAAAAAATATTATTTAAATTAGTGTTTAAATAAAAAATTTAATTAAAATTAAATATTTATAATCTATTTAAATACTGAAATGATATGAGAAATACAATTATAATTTATTTTTAAAAAAATTAAATTAATTTTTATAATTTATATATTATATACACTTGCATGAATACTACTGTGTCTTAAGCGTGTCATCATTGTTTGATACAAATACGTTATAAATAAAATCATGTTTTAATCATATCAATACAATTAAGACAAAAAACATGATTACACCAAACTCATACATAATTTTTTTATATAATTTTCATGTCTATCATTGTGTTGTATTTAAAATTATTAAATTTAAAGTTAAAAAATTAATATGAATTTCAAGCTCGCTTAATTTGTTTCTAAATGCTAATTATATAAAATAATACCCTAAGATAATTTGTTTCAATTTATATTTTAAATACAATTCAAAGATAAAATATGAGATTATAAATATTAAGATTTAAATTATAAATTTACTAAATATCACTTTTTAAGCATAGACTATCTAAGATTACGTGTTTATTTTAAACTTATTTATATATATTATTTTTTATGTGTTCTAGAATAAGACATAAGTAATTAATTTTAAAAATATTTGATGACTAAAAATAAATAAATAAAATGCAAGGATTTGGATTAGGTAGTGCATTCCATTCACATTAATTTTTTTTTCGGCTCTTGTTACAGGCTGTGAGGCAAATCCCATCAAGCTTTAAAAAAATCGGAGAAAAGTGTCAAATCCTTCAGTTACTTATCCATTTAGGCTGGTGCAAGTTGGATTCCTCCATGAAAATCAAACACAATTAAAGCCAACTTAATGAGGCTACACAATCATTCTTATCTGACTTTTATTATTGGAATTCAATAAAAAATAAAAAATTTATTTAATATAATGATAGTGAAGTTTTTTTAATTTTATAATTGAAGTTAAGATAATAATAATTTTTTTAAATTAATTTTTAAACATATAAAAAATATATGTTATCATTTTAATTTTACTTGTAAAATTAAAAAATTTTATTGTTAAGATGATTTTTTAAAAAAATTTATAAATTAGAGTTTTAAAAAATAAGATATAAATTTATCAATTTTAACTTATCACTAATATTTTAATGATACAATTTTATTATTTTATTTATAATTTTGAAATAAATTCCGACACCTTCATTGTAATTTCAAACAAATTGGATGAAGATGTAATACGTGAAAAATATTTTATAAAATATTTCATTAAAAATTATTTTATAATTAAAAAATCTTGAAAAATGATGTGACATGAAAGAAATTAAGATCAACTAAAAAAGTATGATGTCATATTATATTTAATAAAAATATTATGATGAAATAAAAAATAAAAGAAAAGAAAAATTAGGATTATATGACATTATATTTAATAAAAATGCCATGATAAAAGAAAAAAGAAATACAATTAAAAAATTCGGATTTTAATTTCATGGTTGTTTTTTTCCTATCAAATTATTTTTTTAAATTGTAAAACAATTTCTAATGGAATTTTTTTACTAAGAGTTAGAAGTTTAATAATATTAACTTAAAATTCAGATGTAAATTTTTTCTTCTATTTCTTGCAATACCAACTAGTTAAGAAAAGGGCAAAAGGAATAAAAACCATTACTAGTAAACCTTTTTTTTATTAATTTTTAATAAAGAAATTGGTAATTTTTAAATAAAAATAAAATTATGAGTTTTAAAATTTAAAATTTAAAATTATTAGATATTACTTCTTAAAGATGATAATATAAAAAAATTACATGCGATAATATTTGAAACTTAAACTTGAATACTACCTTTTAGAAAGAATTACATGAAGCAGCAAAATTAAACTTGAATTCTATTCTAGGTTTTTATTTATCAAACGTTTCTTCTTAATCAGCTAGAAAAGGAAGAAATACTTTCCGACGTCTAAAGATTAAAATCAGCTAGCAATTTTCACTCCAATTTCCACCTTCAAAATCATTGGTTTATTTAAAAAATGAATGGAATAATTACCTGAAAACTAGAAGTGAACGTGTAGCTTTAGCCTTTTGTTGGGTTTTTCAACGAAAATAGAAGCCCAATGGACTGTTGAATTTCAAGTTTATTGAATAACATCGTTTGAAATTAGATCATATTAGAATGCTTAACTGCTACACTTATTTCATGTCCAAGGGCTTAGTGATTTATGTTTGATGGCTTAATATGCAGTCAAAATGATTGTTAATGTGAAACCAAAATTTAATTCAGTTGGTTCAAACAGTTATCATTAAAAGATGACATTTAATAATTTTGATATTTAAATTTTAATATAAAAAATTTTGTTGCGGCCAATAATCATATAATTTATTGATAATCAATGAACTCTTAATTTTAATAATAAAATTTTAATACTTAATAATTTTAAATATGAAAATAATAATTGTTAAATTTCTCGATGATTGATGCAATCGGTAATATAAATATCGTCCGTTTCATAAAAGCTAACTGCCTTTTGATTTTAGTGTTTTCAATACTAACTGTGGTTATAAAGCATGTTTAAACTAATACTGTGGAGGAAAATTCTTGCTCAATTTTGTTTTTTTTTATAAGGGCAGAGGAGCAATCCAAGGGCATTTGATCCCTTGGCTCGTAGTCGTCTATGGCCCCGGAGAAAATGACAATAACATGACAACATTATTAGGGACATGACAGGAAGGTAAACATATGTTTCTAAGTCTAACCACATTAATCTAATAGGCTTCCTCACTTGTGTTTCAGACATGTTGAAAAGCTGACAACAAAGATGTTGGCATAATCTTTTTCGTTGCTGAAAATGTTGACATTATTACTAAGACAAAATGGTACATATAAGAACTTCTAAGTAAGTTTCCATTAATAACGGATCCTCCATTTTTCTCAGTTAAGAAATGGCAAATCGTCTTCATGGGAAAAAGATGAGTCAGTCAATTTGAAGATTTGCAAAAAAATTGTTTGATAATTTTTTTTTCTCGAGGAAACAAGAAATTGATGCAAAAAAATATTGCTTGGAGTTGGACCAAAAATGGGCATTTCAGAGGGAGATGGGTTAATCAGCCAGCCACGGCGGACTCTTTGGGCTGAACTTTGCCCTGTAAACATGCATGCCTCTCTGTTGATCGTCGGCCATGGCATCGGATGATCAATAATTTGGTGAGCTCGAAATGGTCAGATAAATTATATACTGTATACATAATCTTTGCGGTCATTTGCATCAAATTTTTATTAAGGAATTATCGACGAATTTAATTTTATTAGTAAATTTCATTGATAATTAATTGATATTTTATCAATAATGATTAAATTTTTTTTATAATTATGTTTTATCCATATTCTGTCGATAAAATTTCGATAGTGATAATTTATTTTCTGGTAACGTATGACGCCTCCTTTGTGGATGATTTTCTAATTCAAAAGCTGCAAAAAATTTGAGGTTTCCTTTTCTTCCACACATCACAATGGATTTAAAGCAAGGAAAAGGAATATTGAAAGAAACCCCATTGGACTCGGAAGAGTTGAAAATGTTGTTGCAATGCTGAAAAAATAAAAAAAAATTTTTTTTGCAAGACAAGGCCATAGGTAGACTGCTTACATCCGAAAACAAAATCTCTAAAAGAGCAGCTGAGCCTGACACAATACCAGACATACAAGCAGAGCCATGTTTTAGAGATAGGGTCTTATCTCTATGAAACTAACCATCTCTCTAATATTATTCATCCATCTTGCTCCTCCTTCCTGCACCATTTATTTCTCATTCCAAGATTATACCCCACCTTAGCAGTTTTGTTTCAACATCATCTTCTCATATCCAGACACGTCTTGCTTTCTTACCCTTTTCAACATCAAAGATTGTATATTATATTTTAAGAGTGACAGTATAAATTAAATTTATTTAAGAGTCGGATTATTTATTCAAATTTTATAGTTCATACGAATTTTTAGAGGATTTAGACATAATTTTTAGATTCGTTTAAATTTTGGATCAAACTTTAAATAAAATATTTAAAATTTGAATTTGATTTTAATTCACAAATATATAAATTTTTTATTTTTATATACGTGTAAATTAAATATAATCTCATTAAATTAAATTTAATTATATTTTTAAAATTTTTTATTATATAAATTAAGTTTATAAGTAAACTTGAAATTTATTTTTTAATTTCGGTCGAATTTGAAAAAGTTTTTAAGGTTTGAAATTTTAAGTCGAATTAGATTTGAACAAGTATATAAATTATTAATATCAAATATAAATTTGATCAGAATCTAGTCTAGCCCAGCCCATGAATACTTATAATATAAATAAATTAGATTAAATTTTATATTATTTTTTTCTTTCATATATTGAAGTAGGAGCTATTGGAAATTTAATTTTTAGGGGTTAATCATTTAAAAATTGTGGATGAATTATGAAATACCTAATCAATGTAATAACCATGCATATACATAAATGAGACCAAAGTTATTAGACGTTTCAAGAAAAAGAATCAGTGTGGCTGAAGCATTAATTTAGGATGACTTGAAGGGTAGCAATGTGGCATATCCATACATTTCTACTGTTACAACAACCATAGAGAATCCAAGCAAATTTGGCAAATTACGGCACCACAAAAATCATGAATTTTATATACGTGGAGAATGGTTATTGCATGCATGTCCCAACTTGCAAATAATAATAATAATAAATAAAATTAAAATAAAAATTAAGATGATGAAAAATTTTTATTTTTTAAGAAAAAAGTTAGCTAAATTCATGATGGGAGAAGAGTGGAAATAGATATCCAACGTCCAAACCTCATCAACAAGAGCAGAAGCTCTCATTCACCAAGCTTTCACTTTCATTATCCGGTGAAGAATTGTCAATAAAATATGTTATAAATCTAGTAATTTCTATGATAATTTGTGCCAATGTCGACGACGGCTTCCATCAACAGCTGGTGCCTCACCTCCACCTCTCCTTCTGCTCAATCCTCTACTTCTTCTCTCCGGAGGAGACCAACATTACGGCCCTCCATAGTTGCCAACCTTAATTCTTCTCCTTCTCCTCCTACCCTCATCCGCAACCACCCTGTTTTTGCTGCCCCTACTCCTTTGCTCAACCCTTCCAATTGGGTATCTCTCTCTCCCTCTCTTTTCGTTCATTACGTTTCTCATCTTGAACAAAATTGTTACTAATTCATCTAACATTGATCTGCATGAGTAAATTTATTTTTATCGTGCACAAAATATTTGAATCAGTAATTAATACACGTAAATTCTAAAATTTATTTTTATTGGCTTATATAATCATTTTAAAATATAATATTTAACAAATCTAAAATTCAAGATTTTTGCACGTATAATTTCTTTTTATTTTCTCAAATTACGGTTTTTTAAAAAAAAAAACATGTAATTTACTTAGAGTTTGAATTTGGTTTCTTGGAATCAAATAGAAAAAAAAAAGTGATTCATTGTCATGTGCAAGATTAAAATAATGTGTAAATGTGGCAAAGTGTGAGAGTTCCACATGGATTGCCTTATTTCCACAATAAAAATTTTGCACCCTTTACCTACCTTTCTGCCTTGATTAATCTTTTCAAATCACGTTTGATTTCCTGATTTGGCAGCCACATGGTACCATACCAATGGTGCTAATTGTCCACATAAGCAGTTTACAGCCTGGTCTAAGGACACATGTGTGGCCCTGATTAACCTAAATCAACCAATCAATTGAAACATTTATATTGGTTTTTGGCTATAAATATCAGTAGCAAAATAGAATTCTAAGCTAAATCAAGATTTTAGATATTATAAACAAACAAAGATTCTTTCAACTAAGTCACCAAAACCAGTTTTTTGGTCAGACATTTCTCATTTTCTTGTACCCTTCAAAGAACTTTGTAACACTGATACCTAGCACGTGTTGGAACATTTGTCTGAATTTTATTGGGGTTTGAAAATTTGCAGAGAGAAGACATGGGAGACAAGTCATACGAGGAAGCCATTGAAGCTCTCAAGAAATTGCTCAGGTAAAAACAAAAACACAACTAATGTCCTGTCTCTATCTTGACTTTTTTTTAACTCATCTTCTACTAACTGTTTTATGTTTTTTTTTACATTATTAATAGTACATTAATGTCCTACATCTGTTTTGTACTTTTGATCTTTGATTTCATCAAAACCGTCCATCAATCCTAGTGTTCTTGGGCCACCTCAATCTAATCTCATTGACCTATGTTTTGTTTTTTCCCATCTGATTAAAGAATTTGTACCATGATATAACAAGATTAATTGAAAGATTTGTCACCCTAACTTTCAATAAAATTACAGTCTGAACCACCCTTTTAACAGTTTGACTATATTTGATTATAATATGATTTATATAGGCTCCTTTTGATTGGTATTAAAGCATTGATTTTGTTGTGTCATTGCAGTGAGAAAGGAGAACTGAAAGCAGTAGCAGCAGCAAAGGTAGACCGAGTAACAGCTGAGTTAAAGACAACATCAGCTGGTGGCAAACCATCTGATTCTGTTGAGAGGTTGAAAGAAGGATTCATCTACTTCAAGAGAGAAAAATATGAGTTAGCCATCACTCACTTTCCTTCCATCAATTTTCTTCTACTTCAATTAATACTCCTGCTTTTATTGACAAACTGCCTTTTTTGCAGAAAGAATCCCGCTTTGTATGCTGAGCTTGCCAAGGGTCAAAGCCCCAAGGTATACTTATATATATATATATATATATATATATGTTCACTAACAATTTCAACATCTCTATGTGCCATTCTTCAGTTGCAAAAATGTTTTCATTTGGGGTTTCTACTTGTAGTTTCTAGTAGTAATTGTTTGAACAAAATGGCTGCAGTATATGATTGTTGCCTGCTCCGACTCCAGGGTCTGCCCATCCCATGTGCTAGACATACAACCAGGGGAAGCTTTCGTGGTCCGAAATGTTGCTAATATGGTACCACCATATGATCAGGTACCTTTTGGTTTTTTGAGTTCATAGATATATTAGAACCATGGTCTTGACTTGTTCTCTATGTTATGACAGATTAAATACTCTGGAATTGGAGCTGCTATTGAATATGCAGTTTTGCATCTCAAGGTGAACTATTTATTTTCCTTCTTGTTTTGAAAATCAAGAAAAATGGGGCAGTTTATTCGTGGAATCTCATGTCAATGAAAGTGTTAATCTCATGCAGGTACAAGAAATTGTGGTAATTGGGCACAGTGCCTGTGGTGGAATCAAGGGGCTTATGTCTTTCCCATATGATGGAACCACCTCTACGTAAGGCCTTATCGTTTACAAAAGCATTTTGCATCCAAAAATGTTGGATTTAATAACTAAAATTTACTATAATCTAATTGAAATTTGCAGTGATTTCATAGAAGATTGGGTTAAAATTGGAAAGCCTGCTAAGGCCAAGGTGCTAGCAGAAAACCGTGGCGAGCCTATGGGAGTTCAATGTACATACTGTGAGAAGGTAGACACCTTAAATCTCTGCTTCTTCGCCATTACCTCTAACTGTTTAAACTAGGGGTGACCAACAAGTTTCTAACCAATTATGGATGCATTAAAATTTCAGGAAGCAGTGAATGTATCCCTTGGAAACCTACTGAGTTATCCATTTGTGAGAGATGGATTGGTGAAGAAAACTCTAGCACTCAAGGGTGGTTACTACGATTTCATTAAAGGATCTTTCGAGCTATGGAGTCTTCAGTTTGAGCTTTCAACCCCTCTCTCCGTATGAACAACAACCATCACTAGTGACACCATCTTTGTTCCTTAACTACTAGTTATTTTTTATTACTACAATGTACCATATATGTATGCTTGTGCCTTACTGAGCTGTTACAATAAATATATATGATGGAGATCAACAGCAGCGGCTCCTGTGATCTATAAATTCCCATTTGATTTCATTTTATTAAGAAGCATAGACATACTTCAAATGACTTAATTCACGGCTGCATTTTTCTTTCTTTTTTTCTCTTTGTTAGGTAAAAGATGTCGCCACGATACTTCATTGGAAGCTCTAGGAACATGCTTAGAGGTCATCCCTGCAAAGATGAGGCTCTGATCTTCACTTTCTTCACATTATAATCTGAACTAAGTTTTGTAGACGAGACATATTTTAAAGAACTGGGATGCTTCAACTATTTTAATAATGTTCAACCAAATTTCTGGCTAGATACATGAATATGTGGTTTGATTAATGCAGTAGCACACAAAATATAGAACAAAACCATGACAGGACCATGCCAGAAAACCTTATAATAAAGTTTTATAACAAAGGGTTTGATCAATTTTCACAGATTAAACAAGTACATGTGAAACAGTAGAATGTAGGAACATAATTCAGTTTGATCCTCAGATTTAAAAAAGAAAGTGTTCTATCATTGGAAATGGCCGGACAAAGTTTCGATTCAAACAATCAATTTACTATTTAAACTTTAAATGCCTATGAGAAATATTTACTGTGAGAGATTGATATTTCAACATCTGTCCTCCATTATTAACATCATTGAAGTAGGGGTCGGTTTCTCTGGTGTGTTCATTCAAGAACTTGAAGGATTTTTAATTGCCAATAAAGACAGTCATGTGGGAAGTTTTTCTTTAACGGTGTAAAATGCAAACTTCTCAATGTCATTACGTCTACTATTCTGTTCCTTTTTTTACTAAGTAAAGCAAATCTTTGCATTTTCTTTATTCAATACTCTTGTTATAAATGTTGACTGCAGCTACACAAAAATTTCAGTGATTGAATTTGATCAGCTTAAACTGACATGAAAATGTTTGTGGCTGTATGTGGATGCTATATACTGAGTAAAAATTTACTAGGCCTTTCTGCCATGTTAGTATTTCCTCGAAACCTAAATCCTTCGATTCAGGCTTCATTTGGGAGCCTCATTATTGGGTCCAATCATAAAACGCACTTTCCAGTGCGGTGGGAGCCTTGTAATCGGGCTCCCAATGGACTGTCAAACTGATTAAGTATAAGGTACTCAGTAGAGTAATTAGAACTTAGATCATTTCTTCAAAACATTGAAGGAAAATAATTTTGCAGTTAATGAAGTGGTTTAAACAATGCATTAAAAGTTGGATAGAGGAGTTAAATTCAATAGGATAATGGTAATTATATAGTCATTAATGACAAATTAACAAAGGTTCCTAGCTATCCAGCAAGATCAAAAGAAGAATATTCATCAAAGTACTCCATCATGGTAAGTGTACTTAGCTCCAAACCATCATCAGGAATCCAGAAGGGTTCATATAACTTTCACTGATTACTGATTCTTGGTTAGTGTTTAAAACCTCAGTGGCTTGCTGGCTACTTTGATCCACTGCTATTTCCATGGTTCCAGAACTTGTGGCATCACCAGGACTTGCGATTATGGCTGCCTGATCAGACACTTTCACTTGCTTGGAACTTTGACAAGAATCAACCCCTTTTCTGTTTTGATCTTTGATGCCTAGTCTCTTCCTCAAATGACTATTCCAGTAATTCTTCACTTGATTGTCAGTTCTTCCTGGAACTCGTTTGGCAATCAAAGACCATCTGAACATACACAGATATTGTTCCATATGTATTTATATATGTGGCAGCCAAAGCATCAACTTGTTAAAGAAAAAAGGAATACCAAAACCTGTTTCCAAGAAGTTTATGAAGTCTGATTATAAGGTCTTCTTCTTCCTCAGAGAAATCGCCTTTCTTCACGTTGGGGTTCAGGTAATTCATCCACCTTAGCCTACAACTCTTCCCACATCTCTTCAAACCTGTACGAGGAAGAAAAAGGAAGATCAGTACAAACAAAAAGAAACAGAAGAAATGAACTGTGTTATGACCTGTCTTGTTGGCTATTTTATTCCACTGTCCATTTCCATGCACCTTCACATAATCTGAGAGTAGCTTGTCTTCTTCCACTGTCCATAACCCTTTTTTGTAAGGAATTTCACCTTCTCTTTTCATGGTTATTTGTTGGAGTTCTTGCTGTTGCAGAAGGCAAAGAACAATGATTAGCTTTTGTTGCTTCAGTAGAAATTGTTTGGATTGAGTGAACCTTTTGACTATGTAACCCTTTATTTTGTATTTATATAGATGGAGGTAATGATGAGATGATGATGGGATGCCAGACTTTGGATAAGTTGCTCTTAGTAGCTTTGGCACCCACTTTGTGAGCTTTCTTATAATTAGTTTCATGCTAAAATAATTAGTTTTGATTAACACTGATGAAATGTTCCGATCTCACCTCAGAATACCGTGAGATTCATTAAATTATATAAAAAATGAATTGAATTTAGGGATGTCAATGCGTTGGGCATTAGGAATATAAAGTATTCCTCATTTCCATCATCAAATTTTTATATTTTATCTATTCTCATATCTATATCCGACAAATATTTTAAATTTATCTTATCTTTTGAGTATGAGTAATTCTCATATTCATAGCTTTAAAATAAATAAATAAAAATTTATTTTTTTAGTTTTTTTTTATTTTATATATTTAAATAATTTTTTTATAAATTTATATTAATATATATTTTTTCAATAAAAATTATATTAATTATAATTAATCTAAACTAATAACTTATATTATTTAATAAAAAGTTTATTTACTAAATATATATAAATATATATGTAGGATATGGGTATAGGATGAGTGCTATATTGCCCATCCCCATCTCTGTATCTAATAAAAATTTAAAATCATATTCATCCTTATCTCCATCCTTATACCTATAATATAATATCAATTTTCATCTTATTTGAATAAAAAATCAAATTCTCTATTAAATATGAGTAAAATTAACATCTCTATTTGAATTCATACTTATAAGACGATTTTTTTGTTGAACAACATATTTTCATTTTAGTTACTACATTTTTTTAATTTTAAGAATGAACCCATGCTTGTTAATCTTATTTTTCACTTTTTTTTTTCATCATCAATAAGATTGGAGTTAGTATCAGAGGAGGAAATGTAAAAATGGTATTATTAGTAATTCCTTTTTTTTTGCCATTTAATCCAAATTGAATGGTGTTATTATTTGAAGGTTTATAATAGTTTTTCCACTTACAATTAGACCCATTTTACCATTCTTTTTCCATTGTGCTTGGAGTATACCAATGAAAATATACTTTGGAAAATCTTAGATATTGGTTACTAATTTAAGCTAATTATTTTCATTGGAAAGCATGCATACACATGCTGTATTTTCTTTCCTTTTTAGGAAACTCTAACTTTTATTTAATTTTATCAAACAAAACCCATATAAAAAATAGAAAAATAAAATTATTTAAATATAGTACTTTAAATTAAGACATAAATGCAAAATAAGTAAAAAGAATTTATGACCAACTGCCTCAACTGTGCATGCAAGGACTTAACAAATGCACGTTATCTAAAATTGGAAAGTCCCTCCCAAAGGCATCCTTTGCTTTTTGGGACATTCAATTTCCTTTGCGATTTTCTATATTTGCAGCTACCTACCGTTTGCTTGGGACAGTAATCTTTTTTTTTTCTTTTTTTTTACAGTCTACTTACCGTTAAGATGTACCTTAGCTACCAAGGTAGGGTAAATTTTCCATCAACTTGAATTTGGTTGCAGATAAATTTGCTTATGGGTAGAGAAATTTTATATTATAATCAATTTTGTATTTATATCCGATAAATATTTTAAATTTATTTTTATTTTTATGAATATTTAATAAATATAAATTAGTTTTATACCCATAATTTTAAAAAATAAAAAATACTTTTATTTTATATATTTAAATAATTTTTTATAAATATAAATTAATATTTTTTTAATAAAAATATATGTACTATATATATTTATATAAGTTATGAGTACCGAACAAAGACTATGTTACCCATCTACTTCCCCATCCCTATACTCCATAAAACTTTAAAATTATATCCATTTTCATTCTTATCCTCGGAATATAATTCTCATCTCCACCTCTATTAAGATAAAAAATTAATATTTTTATTAAATATAAATAAAATTGACATCCTTGTAATCACGTCTACTAAATTCGCTCTCTAAATTTCAATTAGTTACATAACGAGATGAGGCTCTCTACCATCGCATAAACTTTATCTTCTCATTCTAAGATTCAAATCTGAAATTAAATTGGATAATTTTGAACATGATACAAAAATTGCATAAAAATTTACGAATACATCATGAGTTAAAGTTTTCTTAAAAAATGTATATGACTTTGAAAAAAATTTTTTAAAAATGCCTAATATTTAGACATCCACGCACACATCGTGACTCGATAATTTTTGTATTTTGTACGTGTTTGACAAGATTAGCCATAACAAAAATACACAATTGCCAAGGGAATAGAAGATTATGCCAATAACTGCCCTATAAATTATGATAAAACATGTTGATGTTACATGCTCATTGTTAAGGAGTAAGAGTAGACTCAGCATTGTTCATTGTTTCATGAGATAGACATATCATAACCTAGAAGAGATCTAGGAAAGTGAAGTAACAAGAAAAGATCTAGGTGTCCAAATCTTCCACTGGAGGAAGGATGATGCAAATGAAACGAAAGCCTGAAGTATATGTAGTTTCTACATTGTACTTTGCAGCCAAGAGAAAAAGGGTCCATGAAGAGATTGGTGAAGAACATATTTTCCTTCATTTGTGCAAGGAAAGAAAATGGACAACCAGAAGAAAATGAAAGGATTTGTACCTTCCTACACCTCCAAAAGAAACTACAAAATACTTATCAACTTCTATGGACAAAAAAAATAAAAAGAGCAAGGCCTAGCTCTCTGATCAATCTCTGACAAAACAGAACTAATGTAAAACTTATCTTTTTTTTTGGGGGATTCGGACTTCTGCTCGAATAGATTAACGAGAAAGATTAAGATGCCTTATGCTTCACAATGTAAAAACATTGATTTCAAAGATAATATAGGTGATGGCATCTGTACAACAGGACCATTTCCGGTGGAATAGTTGATAAATAATGACATTTCCTTGTATATCTACTGAACTAAAGTTTACACAGCATACCGAAAGGCATTTCATGACTCATCCGGCTTTGTCTCGAGTATTACAGGGATCTTCTCCTTATGATCACCGCGCAACACCTCCACAGTAACCTAAGAATTAAGATAATGGAAATTTTGTTCATCAATATTACTTTTATATATAGAGAGACAAAAGGATATATGTATTATTCAATGCTATACCGTATCGCCAACTTTGCATTGATCAAGAATTCTGTACAAGTCACTGCCATTAGCGACCTTCTTTCCATTAACAGATGTTATTATATCACCCAAAATAAGTCTACCATAGGCATCACGCTTTGTCGGTTGCAGACCCTGTATTATATTAATGGTTAACTTACAAATAGAAACGTAAATCTTCAATATGTCATTGGAACACAACGATCACAGAGTATATGACTTCAGATATGAACATGATAATAAGCTTCAATAAATGCATGAAAGTCTGATGCACAAAAAATAGTAAGCATACCGCCTTGCCAGCTGGACCAGTTGCAGGAGCATCTAAGACAAGCACACCACTTACTCCCAACTGTTCAACAGATTGATCTGGTGCAAATTTGATCCCTAAAATAGGTCTTGTCACCTTCCCAAACTTCACCAACTGATCAACAATGCCACTTACCTGGATATGTAGGAATGACTGAATGAATTATTCTCGAGGTAAGAAAATGAAACAAACAAATTCTTGCAACTCAACAGACAGACACATCTGATCAAAATGAAATAAAAGGTCAACGTAATACTCACTGTGTCAACTGGAATCGAAAATCCAACACCAGAAGATGCACCAGAAGGAGAATATATAGCAGTATTTATCCCAATAAGGTTTCCTGAACTATCTAGGAGTGGCCCTCCACTATTACCAGGATTAATGGCAGCATCTGTCTGTATAACATCTTGAATTGGGCGACCAGTGGCAGCAGAACTGATCTCTCTGCGAAGCCCACTATAGATATATAAAAGACATTTTAGCAAAACTAATTCATATAAAAACCAGCAAAAGTAGGAGGAAATTTAAATATGATATATTGACCACAATCCTTGGTCTTTGGTACCTGATAACACCAGTTGTAAGAGTATGATCAAGTCCAAACTGCAAAAACATAAAAAAGAAAATTAGGAAATCCACTTGAACAAGCTATCAAAGAGACCCAATAGTAGCAGTAAAAGTACATAATCAATGAAGTCTTGATCAGGCACTTACAATTGAGGGCAACATTTTTAGTAATCAAATTCATACAATTGCTAGGCTTTAATTTATTATGTATGCAAATTGAAGAGCATTTTTCTTTTCTATACCAATCCTTTTAAACATCATAAGAAATGTGCTTGGGGAGAAAATATATAAACAAAAAAAATTCTTTGATCTGTTTTATATGGCATATCAGAAAATATGATGCAGGAAAGGTATGTCATATTCAATGTAACGGAAAAACCGGCTGTTCCTTCCCTAGCCAATGAGACAATTATGATATTTTCTAAAATTAGATAGATAAATATGTTCATATCCGGAGATCACTGCAGACAATCTCTAATGAAATGAAACAAATAAAATACTGGCAGATATAGGTCATAATTCAGTGAGTATAAACATGTACTCACCGGGTTACCAATGGCATATACTTTCTGACCGACAAGCAAATCTGCTGAGATACCAACAGGTATAGGTCTTAGTTTGTCTTTGGGTGCATCCACACGCAATACAGCAACATCCTTGTCTTGGTCAAAACCAACAACTCTTGCATCATAAGTTGACTGGTCAGCAAGAGTAACCCTGCAAGTGATTAGCACCAATTTAAAATTTTACATATCAAGGACAAGAAGTTAAAAGCATCTTTATCCTATATATACCTAGTGCCAAATGCTAGTTACTTTCCAAGACTACCTCACAGTTGTTTATATAAGATTATTTTACAGACTTAAAATGCACCCTTCCATTGCTCAAAAAAATACAAACAGTAAGAATGTCAATTTACCCATACTCAATAAGGAACCCGACTTTCTACTAGAATGGAGATGGGGATGAGGATGATTTTAAATTTTTTACCCCATACGGGGATGGGAACAGGTAATATAGCACCCGCCCCATATCGTACCCATACTCTACATATATATTTATATCTATGAAAAAATTATATAAATAAGCAAGATAAAAATTTAAAAAAAAAGTTAAATTTTTTTATTTTTAATATTTTTAAAAAACTATGGGTACGGGGGATTAACCATACCCATTAAATACTCACCAAATGGGGGTTAGGGATAGATTTGAAATACTCGTTGGGTATAGGTATAAAGATGATTATAATATAAAAATCTAGAGATATGATGGAGAATACATTATCTACCCCATTCCCTACCCGTTGAAATCCCTAACAAACAAAGATACTATCAAGAGCATGTCACAAACCCCATTCTACTCATATGTCAAATAGGCCTAAATCAACCCCCATCACCCCCCCCCCCCCCAAAAAAAAAAAAAAAGTTCCATCTTGCCAAATGCCAATCATATTTATCTACCAATATCAAAATGCTAACACAACCCAATATATTATAAAAATCCATACTTTTCCTACACATCCCTAGCACTTCAAACATGACAATTTCAAATTCCAACAACATTCAACAAAATCTAGATTCATATCACCTATAAATATTTTCCATGACGGCTCTACAATTATCCAATCCCAATCATTTACAACAATAGAAATAACAGGAAATAATAAAATTAAATTAAAAAAAAAAAAACGAACTTGAGATCAGAAGCACCGCGTATCACATGATAATTGGTAACAACGTGACCATCTTTATCCCAAACGAAACCCGACCCGGATCCTTGCGGTACCTCCAGCACATCCAATGTAAAAGCATCCTGCCTAAAAAACCCATTACCAAAAATAAATTAAAAAGGGGAAAAACAGAAACTACCCATTAGCAAATTCAATCAGAAAACCCCCAAAAAATGGGAAATTTTGAACGAACCTGACGGCGAGATTGGTGATGTAAACAACAGAGGGAGTATTCTCTTGAAAAAGACGTACCGTAGCCAACTCATCGGACTGTAACTTCCGAGGAGGGGTTACCACAAAGGCCGTGGCAGGTCCCACATCTGTTACAAAAAAGGAGAAAGATAGAGCAAGGGAAGTGCAGAGAAGAAAGAAGGAATCCAAAGCTGAAGAAACAATACAACTGTTACTAGAGTTATTGTTAGTATTGTTTTTGGTTTGATTGAATATGATACTGCGGAAGGAAGAGAGAGAAAGCTTGTTGGTTGGAAAGAGAGAAGAGGGTTTTGTTGGGGTGGAAGTGACAGAGAGGGAAGGGATGGGCAGTAGCTTTGGGTTTCTGTTTGGGGACCGAGAAAATGGGGAGGAAGAAGAAGGGGATTGGAGGAAAAGTGTAGAAAGTAGTGAACAAGCTGCCATTTTTTTTTGCTGGTTTGGACGACTGACTCGAATTAATATTGTTGATTTGATTTTTTTTAACTTTTTTTTTGTTGGATCCAAATTTTTGCAATATACTTCTTATTTATTAGTATTTATTTAAAACATTTATGACTTTGCAGGGAAGTGGCTATGGTAGGAGAACAACAGTAGATATGGGTGCCTATGCTATTATTTTCATTTTTTTTAATTTGAAAATGGTTTATAATAAACTCGTTAATTTGTGAATTTATATTATATTAAATATATATAATATAAAAATTATTATATAATAATTTATATTATTTTTAAAAAATATTTTTTATTTATATTGTAATAAATACATATAAAATACGAAAATTTTTATATTATAATCCATAAATAATTTTCGTTAGTCCGTAAAATGAACATATAATTTCTGATCCAAACAAACAAAGTATAAGATAGGTGTGTGTACGTGTAGGATGTTTTGAAAGGGAGTGGGGCCACATAGAAGTAAAATAAGTGATGGGAATCTGCTACCAGGATCATGGCTTTAGACAATTTTTGGAAGTACCCCGCCCCCTCCCACCCAAAATTGCCTATTTTTGGGTCACTAATTCAGGTAAACGGACATGACCCATCCAAGAACATAGTTGATACACTTATCAAAGAAAAGGAAAGGTTACTCCAACCATCAGCATTGACCTCCTGTATACATAAACAAGATGAACAATCCATTGACAAAACCCCTAGTTGTTTTCTTTTTTGCAAAAAAATTCCACCCTAGTGATTTACTTCAAAAGACTTTAAAAAGAGAGAGAAATGAGTAATATGCCCTACTTAAGAAGTGGAAATAGCAGAGCAGAACTGAAACCTACAACATTCTTCCTTGGGGTCTCAATTCCTTTGGCAACCGGTCAAAATTTCCGGCATTTATGTCTGACTCTAGCATTGGTCTTGCTCCAATCTTCCAAACAATGCCCTCTGCTAGGTGCTCCTTGTTTGGTGTTAGCATTACAAAATTTGGATCAGCTCTTTGATAACTGAAAATAAGAGAATTACGATACATCATTTCTGATAGACATGCTTGTATTTTTTATGCACATGAAGATCGGCGAGCTGACTTTTCTCATAAACATATATCAAGATAGTTCACTTTATTAAATAAAGGAAAGAAGCAACTGAACCTGGCTTCTCTCATATTTTCTACACGGAGGCCAAATCCATAAGCGGTAGTTCCAGAAATGCGATCTCTAGTCGCTACAAATTACATAAAATACATGAGTGCCACCAAGCAGTATGTAGGATGTGCTAATAAATAACCACCCATGATGCATGTCTTGGGTTCTAGCATGAAAAGGATTGTAAGGGCATACCTGAAATGCTGAAAGTAAATGAAGGTTTCCACCAGGACTTCACTGCGAGAGCCAGTGATGAGCTGAGAGGTCCCACCTTTCCCTGCAAAAACAACAAGCAGATTTCTATTGGATTTATAGTCACGAATAGGGAAGACAAGATTGCATAATAAATATTACCTTCAGCAAGAAGTTTTTATTGGCTTGCCAGGATGCAGCTATTTGAAAGGTGGAATCAGGAATGTTGTTTGATGTTTTGGCGTCATCCAACCTTTAAAAATGTTTACCAAGTCAGATATTCAGTATATTAATCACATGTTAATTTCCTTATTTGGAATACCTTGTCTGTAATTCAAATCCAAAGTCAATGTAATTTGTTATTCCAACTACTTCACTTTCTTCAAATGGATTCTTCACCTGTTTGGAAAAAAACAATGTGAAAATAATAGAAAAGATAGAACACATTCTTCTGCATAAAGGAAAAAGGAGAAGGGGGAGAGAGGTATTGCAGATTGTACACCAAAAGATCTTCAACTATGCATCAAAAATGGCCTATCGACAGAATTTGAAGGTCTTTCTTCACACATTTAAGTCATTAAATATAAGCATTAAATCTATTGAAGGCACATAATTTAATATAATGCTACTATGTGAAGAATTCAGCTCCCAAACTCAAATAAAGCCTTATATTCAAACGGGGGATCCGAACTAAGATGCCTCGCTTTAAAAACACAATAAGACCACAATTCAGATCAGCTTATCTTATGTATGATTAGCTGTGAACCTGGAATATCATGTTTAGTAGGATGCAGAAAAGGTTGCAACTTGGAAAAAGAAAAATAAATGAATTTCATTTGAAATTTCAGCTTTGGCCACATGTTGAAAGAAGATAATTTAACAAAAGAAGAGAAATACAGATGTCTTAATCGCAAGAAAAGACCAATTCAGTAAATGGGAGAAACTGATTTGAAAAACATACCCTCCTTTGGACCACCACATGTTGATAGAATGACGCGTTGAACTGCAATTCAACATTATAAAATAAAATATCAGCACAGAAATTTACAACTCACAGAGGGAAAACATTGTCTGTAGATGCGCTTAAGCAGAAGGATCAGAAATCAAACACCAGCAACTGCATGCACAACAATTTACTAGACGGTATCTCTGTTGATCAGACAATAGTACTAAGAAACTATTTCCTAGCTTTAAGTTTATGTAATATGACAAACTTTCAACCATGTGCCCGGCTGACCTAGGCCTCTGTTCTAAAAAGTTGAGGGATCAAAATTGTGAAGCACATATGTACATGTGAATCACCAAAAGGGGGGAAGAGAGAGAGAGAAGGGGGGAGGGATTCATTTTGCATCTGCATATCATTTAATTGTAGAAGACCAAAGTAACAAGTGATGCAGCTATGCTTTGTTTTTAAATAAAACGAAAATAATTGTTAACATTTTTTAAATATGGCTAAAATGAAATACAAGTCATTCCTGATGGAGAAAAGGCCATCCACCCAAAATAAGGATATAACACCTATATTGAATGAAACATTTCTCAATCCTTATACCTGTGTCTTTGAGAGACAAACTGTCAGGGGTAACAGAAAACGCCTAAACAGATTAAGCTGTGAACAAACCTGAGAACTTTTGGAAAGTTCAAGGCAAAAATTAAATGACGGACTCAAGGGACTGCCTGATCCTACTCCATAACCAGCTGCACAGCTCCAATTCAATAAATCCTTATATTTCATGTCATCTTTCCTTCCATCTGAAAATAGAAACATATAAAAGTGAACACTGAGGATTGTTTTTAACTTAACCTCATAAGAATTACAAGAAAGATGGCAACATATGATGACATTCAAGATTCAACATATTTTGAAACATATTGATAAGTTATATGCTACATACATAATCCATAAAATAATTTCAAGGGATTATAGTTTACCTGATTCTGATATGGGTTACTTAGCTATCATTAAAAAATTTATGATCTCTCCAATTTTCAGAGCTAGAATGTGAAACAAACACATTTGATTAAAGCATTCTCATAAACAGTAGCAACTAGCAAGAACTTAGAGATTTACAATATAAAAGACATATTTAATCCTTGCATTTTTCATGGCTGCAAAGCATAGTAAAAGGCTAATGTCCAGCTCCTGTCAGCATAAGGGAAAAACTCCTTTCCTGTTTTAACTCTATAGAAAGTGATTGTACATCTAAACATATCTTTCTTTCAATTTTCCCCTGACTCCATTTGTTTGACAACTGGTTATGCACAAGAAACTTGATTTCAGTTTTTTTATACTTTACCCAAAGGACACATACACACACATTCTCAAAATCAAGCAGTAATTTAGCAGCTCATTGTAAGATTTAGGTGCTACTCCTTCAATTTTGCAAAAATAAATATGATTATGAGTAAACTTACATTGTGGCTCATATTGAACCCCAACAGTCAACCTTCCCAACTTGCTTACTAGCCATGCACTCTTTGGTAATTGGTCTTTAACTGCAGAGGATAGAAAATTGTGAAATATAGGTTTCCTTTTTCATACATTTGTGTAATTTTGTTGAGGTTCGTTATGTAAGAAACCCATAACATAAGGAACCTTGACTGGCATAGTCCACAATATAAAAGCAGGGAAATTATTATTATAAATCCAGAACGCATACTGGCGAAAGGCATAACTGTGACTCCTGCTGATAACTTTCCTGAGGCATATCTCAGTCCCATAACACCGTAATCTTCAGCAGTTACTCTGCATGAGTTCTAGGCTTCATGAGCAGAACACATGTGAAAAATATAACAAACAAAGTAGCTAAAAACACCATGAAGGTGCCCTTAAAAATATGACTTACCTTTTCTTTAATAGCAATGGCAAAATGCCAAATGCCCCAAACCCATATCTAGGATAGTAAGCACATGACCTCATCTGTAAAACACTGAAATGACAGCTCACCATGAATTATGCAAAACCAGATCAAATCATAGAAAACAAAACTTTATACTCCAAACAAAAAAACCTTACGGATCAGAGTTTGATACGAAAAGGTCCATGAATGTATGAGGATCATCCACATCGCTGCTCATATAAAAAACACCATTATCTAACAGACTTAACACATATTTGTTCACAATTCTTTACTACATTGTGAAGAATATTACTAAGGCTTTTGTTACAATCAATCAGAATCTTAAAAGAATAAGAAATTTAAAATTACCTTTGCCAACGAAATAACGCGTTTCCAGCAATTTTCTCTTTAGGTTTATGATCAAGTGGACCTGAAGCCTAATTATGTTAAGGAATAAAAAAAATTGCTCCTTATTTCAATTATCAACTCCTTAAATCTCAGTTTTCCAAATTAAGCAAAAAGGATACGGTTGCCATTAAATCAACATGAGGATCATCAATCGGTTTCAACATAATAAGAGTATTAAAATGTCTAGCTTTTTCAAAAAAATCTTCGAATAAGCATTTCAAAGCTAGCTTCCCAAACAAAATATTATAGGATGATTCCAGCATCCTGCAACAACAATTTCAAATTTTTCTTTAAAAAAAAAGGAAATTTGAATAGAAATTTCAAAAATTGAGGGCTGAGATTGAAGTGGACCTGGAACGGGCGGCTATAGGAGGGAAATCGAAGAGAGGAGGAACGAGAACCACCGGCGGAGGCGGTTCTTTGTTAAACCAATTCCCCATTGTTACTGAGAAATTTCTAGGGTTTTAATTTTTCATTTGGGAATCGGAAATGAACTGAGTGTGAGAGAGTGAAAAAGAAGAAGAAGCAAAATCGCCCGCGCACGTCGGGTTTTTCTGATTTTAGCTTCGAAGACAGCTTCAACCGAGAATTGATAGTGACGTGGCAGTACATGAAAAATCCAATAATTTTTAAAATTTCTTCTTTTCTTTTCTTTATTTCTAACCATTGGGCCGAACGGCTAGTCTGAATTTGGATATTGGGCTTTGATTTGAATAGATTCAAAGACTCTGTGCTTACATGATATAAAATAATAAGATTTAAATTATTAAAAAATATATAAATAAATTTAATAAATTTAAAAAATTATTTTTTATATTTTCATATTGATACAAATTATAACATATAATTTTTATATAAAATATTATATATATAAATATAATATTTTATATGATATAACAGCACGAATTATCATATTTAATTTTGAGAAAAATTTTTTAACTTACCAAAAGGTATCTTAAATTATAATTAGCCTACAATTTTAACAATATGACAAAATTTGACCATATTACTACCATTTCAATTGTAAAATTATCAATTTTTTAAATAAAAATTTATTTATTTATTTAATCAGTCGTAATATCAAAAGATTAAAATCAAATAACTATGTTCTATGTTAGAATGAATTGGCCAAAGAATTCATCCGTTTTAGTTATTTATTTCAACAATTAAATGTGATTTTCTCTTCCAAATTTTAATTACTCAATACTACTGTATAAACAATTACATCATCACAAATATGATTTTTAGATTCTTATAATCAACTTTTTTTATGAAGAATTAGCCTTTCAAATATTTAATGCTACACTTTAGAGTATAGTAGCCTAGAAAACACAAGATATTTTGATTTAAGCATACGTAAAAGTCAAAATGATACTCATAATTGTCTACAGAGTTTCAGGCATGATATAAGTAGGGGTGAGCATAAATCGGTTCAAATCGATTTAATCGACTAAAATTATAAAATATGGTCATTTCGGTTCGATTTAGTCGATTTTCAATTGTAATCGATTTTAAGATCGGTTAAATTAGTTAAATCGATTGGTTATCAATTTTTAAAATTGATAACCGAATTAACCGATCTTATAATAATTAAGGGTAAATATGTAAATTCTCTTAAAAAAACCCTAAATTTAACTTACTTTTTTTAATTCACCCATCCACGCCGTTTCCCATTTCTGCTCTTTGCTCCCTCTCAATCTGTTGCATTTTATCATGCCTTTGCTCTTTACAGTTTGCTCTCCTTCAGTCTCTTGCATCTTTGCCTCCCTCTTACTCTCTTACTTGGCTACTTGCCTCTTAATCTCTTGCTCCCTCTAATTTGCTACATAAGATCAGACAGTTGTAGAGATCAATCTGTCCAAAACGCCATCGTAAGTTCTTAAACCCTAATAACCTTTATTTTTTCTTTTAGCGTGACACTATATCTTTGTTTAGAGCTGTATTCTTCCTATATGTTTTAAGCTAAAGCATAACCCAAACCCCAGCCCCAGGGTGTGCCCACGGTAACGAAATAGAAGCTATATTTTTTTTTTTGCTAGTATTTTTCAGTACCTTTGACAGAATGAAATAAAAGCCCCATTTTCTTTCCTGGGCTTTGACAGAATGTGTAAGGGTGCGAGAGGTTTTATCAGAGATGTTTTGGGGAAATGGTTTATGGTTTTGTCTTTCAAGACTACAAGAAAAAGAGTTTTTCTATACTAATTCGTATTAGCTTTCGCTGCTTCCAGCTCCTCGGCGAGCTCACTTTGGCCACTCTGTTTTAACCAATCTAGCATCATTGTGGCCTATCGCTACCATTTCCAGTCAATATATTGTTTAGATTGCCCACATTATTAAGAAAACTCTTTTGCAACAACCTTTTATTCAACCCATCTTGAACCTCCAGACATTGAAGTTGCCGTAATTTTCTCCCATCAAAAACTAAAAAAAACTTTCATACTACAAAGTGTCGAATGGGTTTTAATTCAATTTAAAAGAAGAGGCCAGTAAGGGAGATACATAGGAGGGCTTATTCTTGCTTTCTTGGCATTGGGCTTCTTGAAGATAGAAGAAGAAAGCTTAAAAGTTGGGATTTGAGATTTTTTGGGTTTAGAATTCTGTAAAAATAAGCGTAGTTTATGGTTAAAAGAACAGAGTAAAGCTTTTACATTAAAGTTGAAGAAGAAGTGTTCTGTTCAATGTTAAAAAAATATTGGTATGGCAACATGGTATGATATGGACTAAGACGATTTGAGGATGGTCCCATAACTCACAAGCGAAAGACAGAAATCAACGAATGGAAGAGAGCCAGAGGATGCCCTCTTGTCGCAAGTGAGCAGACGATTTCTCCCTGACATCACAGAAGACGATTTTTTTTTTTAGCAGACTTTCTTTTTTCCAAAGGAATGAAAGTACTTACTTGATAGAGTAAGGGAGTTAGAATGCGCTTTGGTTCACAGGTTTGGTGGTATATCCCTATATAGATGGGCTTTGTAGATTAATACAGGGAATTGGGGAATAAATAGTTAAGTGATTTACACCTCAAAATAGAGTGTGTAAATACTGTATACATACATAGAGAAATAAGTTTAAAACACAACTATTAGGGAATAAAGATTTTAAAGAAATCTATTGTCAGAGATCTAGCACTTTTAAGTTTTAACTTTCTTACTAGATCTAGCAACTAATTAATCTAAATTATGCTAGATACTTAAATTAAAAGCTAAAATAAATTAGCCTAAACTATGCTAGACACTTACATTGTTTGTTGATAAAATAAGCAACTAATATATAGTTTGATCAATAAACTATTTCATTATTTGAATATCCAATGTGTTCAATAATTGTGTGACTATTACTTTATTATTTTTTCATTATTTGAATATAATTTTATTTTTATTTATTATTTTAATATAATTTAATTATTTAGTTTTTATTATTTGGATATAATTTGATCACTTGCTTTTTTTTTTGAAAATGTCAAATGAAGTGAATGATATGATTTTGGATTCTACACCTAATCAAACACAATTGGCCTTTCAACTTCCTGTATATGATGAGGTAACAAAAAGTGAAACTGTAAATTTTAAAGTGATGAGATGAGCACCTAAGCCATGGTCAGAGGTATGGGACCACTTTACTAAATTTGTTAATGAGGAAGGTAATCTTAAAGCTAGGTGTAATTATTGTGACAGGAAATTTTTTACTGATCTTAAAAAGAATGGAACCACCGCTTTAAAGAATCACATGAATTCTTATAAAAAGCTTCCTCGTGTTAGTGGGGATGATGGTACTCAAACAGAATTGGTGTTACCGTTAAGAGGAGTGGAATCTTTAGGCACATGAAAATTTAATCAAGATGCTGTTAGAAAAACTGTAGCTAAAATGATCATTCTAAATGAGTTGCCATTTAGATTTGTGGAGTTGGAAGGATTTAGGCATTGCATGTCAGTTGCATGTCCTAGATTTCATATACCATCACGATGGACAGTTGTTAGAGATTGCTATCAGCTTTATATTGATGAAAAGATTCATTTGAAGTAATTCATGAAATCATTTTTCACAAGAGTATCTCTTACCACTGACACATGGACCTCATTACAAATGGTCAATTATATGTGTCTTACGACTCACTTCATAGACAAATATTGAAAACTAAACAAAAAGATATTAAATTTTTATCCCATTTCTAGTCACAAATGTGAAGCTATTGGTAAAAGGATTGAAAAATGTTTACGTGATTGGGGGATTGATAAGATTTTTACTGTTACAGTTGATAATGCTAGTTCTAATGATGTTGCGATTGCATATTTGAGAAAAAAATTTAACAATGCTGGAACTAGTATTTGGGGAGGTAAATATCTTCATTTGAGATGCATTGCACATATTGTTAATCTTATTGTTTATGATGGATTGAAAGAAATAAATGAAACAATTGCTCGTGTTAGAGGGGCAATAAGATATGTGAGATAATCACTTTCCAAGTTAGCTAAGTTTAAAGAGTGTATTGTGAATAAACATATTCAAAGTAAAAGTTTATTGTGTTTGGATGTTAGCACTAGATGGAATTTTACTTATTTGATGTTGAATGCAACTCAAAAGTTTGAAAGGGCATTTGATGCATATAGAGGTGAGCTTTTGATGGAAGATGGGGTACCCGATCAAAATGATTGGGCAATTGTTAAGAAGTTTTACCTTTTCTTGCAACAATTTTATGATCTCACTATGAAAGTTTCATGTACTTCTTACGTCATATCTAATACTTTTCTTGATGATATATGTGATGTTTATTCCACTTTGCGAAAATGGCAATTAAATCCTGATGTTGAGTTGAATGCAATGGCAAAGAGAATGAAGGATAAATATGATAAGTATTGGAAAAATATAGAGAAGATGAATATGTTGGTTTATATTGCTTTTTTTCTTGATTCTTCAAAAAAGTTTCCTTTTGTTGAATATTGTTTCATGAAAATGTATTCTTATTATGAAGCTTCATTGATGATTAAAAAAGTACAACAAGCAATTGAAGACTTATTTAATGAATACAAAAGAATGTTAGAACCTCAGTCTGAGCAAGTTGGTGAAAGTAGTCAAGTGAGCCAAATGTCACAGCCCACCGATGATGAAAATGGAAATGAAACGACAAAAAAGAATGAAAGCTTTAAGTTCAAGTACAAGAGGTATATGATTGAACATGGCAAAGATGAACATAAATCAAAATTGGCTAAATATTTGAGTGAGGAGCCTGATGATGATGATAGTGATGACTTTGATGTTTTAACTTGGTGAAAACTTAATAGCCATAGGTTTCCTATCATTTCCCATCTAGGTCGTGATGTATTAGCAATTCCTATATCCACAGTTGCTTCCAAATTTGCTTTTAGCATTGGTGGTCGTGTGCTTGATGCATATAGGAGCTCTTTAACTCTTAAAATTGTGCAAGCCCTTATTTGTGCTCAAGATTGGTTACGTAGATCTTCTAATCTTGATTCATTTCAACCTGAAGATGATTTGATATAGCTTGACAAAATGGATTTAGGTGATATTTTATTTATACCATCATTTATTTTTTAAGGATTATTATTTTTTATTTTTTTTATTTGTTTAAAGCTTACTTTTGTTATTTTTTGTTTATATATTTTTAGATTTGTCAAAAATTACCTTAGATCCAGTAATTGATTAAAAAAAAGGTGCATTGACCTTTTGAGGTAATTTCATTATTAATTTTTATGAATATTTACATTTAAAAAATATTTATTGTATTCTTTGACAACTAATTAAGGTTTTAATCTCTTTAACATTTTAGAAAAAAATGAAGAATGTGCACCAAAGTTATGAGGTTCATGTATGAAGAATGCTGTTAGAATTTGGAATGTCCTTTAATTAGCTTGTTTTATATTTTTTTATGAACTTTTATATTCATTTGTTAACTCAGAGTGTTCTTAGCTTGTTTTATGTTTTATATGAGCTGTTAGCTCAATTTGTCAACTTAAAATGTCTTTTATGTTTTGCACCAAAGTTATGAGATGCATATTTGCTTGATTTACTTTTTTAAGTTGGCCTGTTGATCCTTGAAAACTTGTTTATGTGTTGAAATGACAATTATTATGTATTGATGGCTTTGTTGGTTATTTGATATATGTTAGAGCAATACTTTTTAAAACTTATTGTTTAATTTATTTTGATTAAATAAGTTTAGATGAGTATTTATTTATCTTTTTTCTTGTAAAATATTGTAGAAATTATTAAATTCTTTAGTGATTTAGTTTGAATGGTATGTGAATTTGAATTTTATTAGATTGAATTTGTAACTAAATAATTATTCAAAATAAGAGAAAAATGATAAAAAATTCAGTTATTTAATCGAACTAACCGAATTGAATCGATTTTTGATCGATTCGGTTACTGATAAAATAAAAATCGGTTAATTTGGTTATTAATTTTTTCAGACCGAATTAACCAAACTGATCAACTGCTCACCCCTAGACATAAGGTAAAAATAAATGCATCTTAATAGGAGTCTGTTCTAGAGTTTTTAGTTTGAGACTTCGTTCATATAAAAAAATTTTTGTAAGGTCAAAAATTTTCTCCTTATGAAATTTTTTTATATATTTTATATACGTAAATAAGTATCGAATTTAAATACAAATTTAAATATTTATTATTATTTATTAAATAGATTATAATATTAAATATTTAACAAATATTATTCATATCTACTTCGATTCTGTTATGAATAATAAAATTTCATTTATTTCGTAAAAAATAATTTTTAAAAAATAATTTATGAAAAATATTTATATTTTTTAAATTAAAATAAATTTTTTATTATTTGAATGAATTAATGAAAAATATATTTCATTATTTGGTTCTTTTTTGAATAATTTGTTTTTTTCAAATAATATTAATATAATTAATAAAATATTAAAAATTATTTATTATAAAAATTATTTGAAATTATTTATTATTGAAATTATTAATATTAAAAAATAATTATATTTTAATAATAAATTTTAATATTAAAATATTATGTTAATATAAAAAATATTTAAAATAAAACTATTTATTATTTTTTATATTATTTACTAATATATTATAATATTTATTAATATATTATATTAATAGTATATTATTTATTAATAATATATTATTTACTAATATATTATTATAATATTTATTAAATAAATTAATAAAATTTATTAATATAATATTATTTATAAGTACAATTATGCTAAAAAAATTGATAAATAATTCTACTCATCAACAATTTTTTTCTAAAAATTATTTTTCTCTTTTCAAATTCATAAGATAATTAAAAAAAAATGAATTCATTTTTCATTAATTAATAATCATTTTTCTTTAATCGATCAATTTTTTATCAAATAAATATCTAAAAATATAAAAAAAAAAATTTTAAATTTATTTTTCATGAAATAAACAAAACCTAAATCTCTTATTCAATTTTATTAATTAATTATTTAAAATGATGAGTCAAATAAAATGAGGAATATTCATTTATTTATTATCTATAAAGAAAATATTAAAAAAACTAATGGGCATAATAGGGATAAATTTGAGTTCAGTTCTTTTGAACCATTCATTTAAATGCTTGTACTAATTAAACATTATTGTTCGATCTTACATTCTTTGGATATGAAATACTAAAGATGAGATCAATATTACAAGAGAATAAATGGATTATTTCATTTTTAAGCAATTATCTTATCTATTTATTTATAATTATTTGTTATCAAATTATGTTTATCTAAAAATATTATTTAGGATTTTATATTTTATATTTATCTGTTATTATTTAGATAAATTAAAGATTTATTTAAATGTAATAAAAAATAATTATTATTTAAATAAAATTATAATATTCAAAATTTTATTTGTTATTTTAACCATTCTTATATCAAGATATATATATATATATATATATATATCTTATAAAGAGTTACATTAAACTTAAAGAATACCTGTCAATGGAAATTACTGACAACAAAAATGGAATAGAAACTTGTTTACCGAGTGGTCAATTTTTATCAATCGAGCAATTCGTGGACATTAAAAATAGAAAAAGTAAGGGTATAAATGAATAGAATTTTTGATAAATCATTCGTAAATATATTTAATTTTTATTCATTTATATTTATTTATTAAATTTAATAAATAATATTAAATAATATTTTTATATTTATTTATTAAATAAATTGAAAACAAATAAAAATTTATTTAATTCATTTATATTTATAAATAAAATTATTTAAAATTCATTAGTTTAATATTTATTTACTGTTTATTTATGTTAAAGTTCGTTTGCTCTTTATCTTAATAATATTTTAAAATTAATTTTTATTTATTTATTATTTATGAATATTTTTGTTTATATATATTGATAAACATATTTATTTAATTTAATAAAATCAAATATGAATATCTTATTATTTAAATGAATCAAATTTAAATAAATAAATAAAATTTTTTATTAAATACAAATTGGGTTCAAAAACTTTTAAAAATAAATGAATTTATATTCATTTTATTTACAACCATAAGAAAAAAGCATAAAGAATTCCAATTTTTTTTTTTTTCAATGAAGTTTCTTGAGAAAGTTGTTGTGCCATGAAAAATAGGTGGAAGTATCCCGTTATTCATTTCCATGCGCAATTTATGTAAAGCATGAAATTTTCGTGGAAACCGCAAAATCAGGGCCACAAATTCTGATGAAATGGACCCCAGCGAGAACAGCAACACTTGAAGACAAGCTTAAAAACCTTCTCCATGCCCAACAACCATCGTTTTTGTCAACTTGAGGTGGGTTGGATTGGATTTTGCCTTTTTAATGACCTTTAAATTATATATATATGTATATATATTTTTTTGTCTCATCTTTTCCACAATAATGTGAGGCACAATTTTTTTTGGTAATTTCTTGTGTAAATTCATTGGCTTCTTCTTATTCAACTTGGGTTTTTCTTTTTTTTTTTTAATATTTAAGTATAAAAATAAAAAAGATTTGGATGGTCATAATCAATTTTTTTGAAGATTACTGTGGTTCATGAATTGGGGAATATAATATATGGGTCCATATCTAACTTTTTTGATTGCCTCCTCAATTTTTGAATGGACAAAATAATGTTGCTCTTGCATTTTTTCTATGTATAGATCTATTAAAATTTTATGTATGAATTATATTTATAAGTAATAGATTTTTATGTAAATTTTATTATGATTAAATAATTATAAATATGTAAAAATATTATAAGTGATATATATTTTCAAAAGTGATATTGAATAAATTTAGATTTAAATTTTAATGTTTATAGTTTTTTTTTTAAATTGCGAACTTTTTTAAAATTTTTTAATTTGGCTTTGAAAATTTTTTAATAAATTCAAAGATATGGTGGTTGAGACCTGGCAGAAGAGGAGAGACTTTATATATAAAAAAAAAATTAAGCAAATAAAAGGCAACAATATAAAATTAAAAATTACACTAATAAAAGTCAAAAGGAAAAAGAAAAAGGGCGGCGACGAAAAAGGAAGGCGCGAATTTAAGTATGCTTGTGGAGGATCAACAAGAAGTGGGGAATCTTGGCGTGGCGTCTCGGCGTTGTGGGAATTCTCTCTTCTTTCAGCTCTCCTTAAATTTCTTTCAAAATTTTCAGCTTTTACTCTAAGTTTCTACTCTTAATAAAAAGCCATACTTTTTTTTTTTACATTCATTTGTTGACTGGTTATGGTTAGTTTGAACCAAGAACAAGACCCAGATTCAGATTTTCCTTTATTTTGTTGTGAGTATTGAGTTTCTTCTTCTTCTTTTACGTTTGCTCAATGTTTCAATGAATTTCGGGATTTGGGTTTTGTTTTTCTATTAATGAATTAATATAAAACTTGTATTTTCTTATGGAGGGCGGCAATAATTTTCTTTCAATATGTGTTTTATGAATATATGGAGGACTGCATGCATTAAAAATTGGGTCTTTGCGACCTTCCTTTGTTGTTCCTGGTATAAAGTGGCCTGATTATTGACGTCAAAAGTGGGAGAAAAGAAACGTTTTGCTGAATATTTTTTGTTCTCTGGTATAAAGCTCTGGCCTGATTATCTTCTTTTTATTTTTGTTGGTTTTGCAGAGGGGATGGTGATGGCTGCTAACGTAGCTTATGTTGGTGGCCATTTGCAATATGGCGTGAACTTTTGCAGGGGACAAGGTTATCAACAAGCTGTTTGGGTTCCTGGTGTGACATTCAATGGATGCCTGCAGAGAGAGCAGTCATGGTATTTGTTAAGAATCTTAGTTGTAGTCTATTTCGTTTCTGTAATTGCTTAGTAGATATCAAAGCAGTGACTTTTCAGTTTTTAGCAATGCTTCTAACTATATATATGAATTCTTTTTGGGAGATTCTCCAGGTCGTGTGGGGTATCCAAGTTTTTACGGATCCATAGGTGTAATTTTTTTCAATCTCCAGTGAGCGAAAATTGGAAGTCCTTTAAGACAGTCACCACATCAGCTTACTTGAGAGATGGTTCAACAAAGTATTTTGATTTTGCTGTTATTGGCAGTGGAGTTGCGGGTCTTCGTTATGCTCTTGAAGTTGCAAAACATGGAACTGTCGCAGTTATCACAAAGGCTGAGCCTCATGAGAGCAATACTAACTATGCACAAGGTGGTGTTAGTGCTGTGCTTTGTCCTTCAGATTCCGTGGAGAGTCACATGCAGGATACAATTGTAGCAGGGGCTTATCTGTGCGATGAGGAGACTGTCAAAGTTAGTTCTAGATTCTTTCATTTAGTCTGCAGTTTAGTTGATAAATACTGAGGTTTTCTGAAATTTGAACATGTGAGATTAAAGCAGTCATTGGGAAAGTGGGCGTTGGCAGAGATACATAGTTAAGTTTGTAGTTATCTCTAGCATTCTAGCCCATTACTGAGGTTTTCTTTGAATTTGGTCTGTTTGTCCAGGTTGTCTGTACGGAAGGACCTGATAGAATCAGAGAATTGATTGCCATGGGTGCTTCATTTGACCATGGTGAAGATGGAAATTTGCATCTAGCAAGGGAGGGGGGGCATTCTCATCACAGAATTGTTCATGCTGCTGACATGACAGGAAGAGAGATTGAGCGGGCTCTATTAAAGGCAGTTGTCAATGATCCTAACATTGTTGTGTTCAAGCACCATTTTGCAGTAGATTTGCTTACTTCTCAGGTTCAAAATTTTTGCTTGTGGTGATGATAATTTTATATTATACCACTTCAAGGTCTAGGCCTTGTCATGTTTTGGCTGAGACTGCCAATTGGGTTTCTTGTAGCATTGGATTTAGCATAATCTTTCAAGGCTCAATAAACAACTGAAAGTATTATGGACATGTATAAAGTTGTGCTTATGTTGATTGGAAATTGTTTAGTAGAGTCTAGTGTATTCTTAATACTAAACTGAAAGACCTGATGGTTCGCAGGATGGTTCTGACACAGTTTGTCATGGAGTTGATGCTTTGAATACTAAATCACAAGAGGTAACAACAGGTCTATCTTGATAATCTTTCTTAGGTTTCATTTGGTATCGCTTTGCTGAATATGTTTAATGTATGCATCTTGAAGCCGATTATTCTTTGTTTTCTTTTCTTCCCCCTGGCTCTTGCAGACCGTCCGCTTCATTTCAAAGGTAACTTTACTGGCATCAGGTGGTGCAGGGCATATCTATCCATCAACAACAAATCCTCCGGTATTCTTTTGTTTTGAGTTTTCGCTGCATTTCATCATTTCGCTTGTGTGCTTGTTGCTCAAACTTTGACTCATTCATTATTTATTTTTTTATTTTCTCTGGTTAGTTATAAATGATTGGACTTGTCAATTATGAGTGAATGCACCATCCGAGTAGTTCATATTCTTGGCTTGTTCTTATAGGTGGCGACTGGGGATGGGATGGCTATGGCCCATCGAGCTCAAGCTGTGATTTCCAACATGGAGTGAGTCATAATCATCTATTCAGTTCTATTTTCTAATTGTGAAGCATGATCTGTTTTTAAAATATACAATGTAGTACTGTTGTTACTGATAATCCATAATTATGTACAATTATGGAGGAATCTAGATGACACGGAAATGAAATCATTATTTGGTTATGCTGTACAAAGAAATTTGGGTTGTTGGAGTTTTTGACTGTTTTTATGGAACTATTTGTTTCTCAGATTTGTGCAGTTTCATCCAACAGCCTTGGCTGACGAAGGCCTTCCTATCAAGCCAAAGAAAACTCGAGAAAATGCTTTTCTTATTACCGAAGCTATGAGAGGTGATGGAGGCATCCTCTACAATTTAAGCATGGAACGGTTTATGCCCTTGTATGATAAGAGAGCTGAGCTTGCTCCAAGGGATGTGGTGGCAAGAAGTATTGATGATCAACTTAAAAAGCGCAATGAGAAGTATGTGCTGCTTCATATAAGTCATAAACCCAGAGAAAAAATTCTCTCCCACTTCCCTAACATTGTTACTGAGTGTCTCCAATATGGCCTGGACATCACTCGGCAGCCAATTCCTGTGGTTCCTGCTGCCCATTACATGTGTGGAGGAGTCCGTGCTGGGCTCCAGGGAGAGACAAATGTGCAAGGCCTGTATGTGGCAGGTGAGGTTGCATGCACAGGTTTGCATGGAGCAAATAGACTCGCTAGCAACTCATTGCTTGAGGCTTTAGTCTTTGCACGAAGAGCTGTCCAGCCCTCAATTGATCACATGAAGGGTTCTAGTCTTGATCTTACTGCTTCTAACTTGTGGACCCGGCCTGTTGTCCCCAAATCACTTGGGAGTGATGTAATGCATAAAATATTGAGAACAACAAAGGAAGTGAGGAAAGAACTACAATCGATCATGTGGAAGTATGTTGGGATTGTTCGATCAACGACAAGACTACAGGCTGCAGAGCAGAAAATTGGTGAGTTGGAGGCCAAATGGGAGACATACTTATTTGAGCTTGGGTGGCAGCAGACAATGGTGGCACTCGAGGCTTGTGAAATGAGGAACCTCTTTTGCTGTGCAAAGCTGGTTGTGAGCAGTGCCCTTGCTAGGCACGAGAGCCGTGGGCTTCACTATACGATTGATTTTCCTCATTTGGAGGAGAGTAAGAGGTTACCAACAGTGATTTTCCCCAGTTCCCATATGATGAGTACATGGAGTTCACGACAACTACACCAGCAGCCCATGTATTAGTCCAAAGTCTTCTTTTCAGTTTTCATCTACCAAAAACTTGTATGTATTGCGTCATGGTCATTGGAAAACCTTTGGCAAGGAAAGAGATGCCTTACAGCATATTTAGGGCACCTTTAAATATAAGCTAGGTTGTCCTTGTCCTTCTCCCACCCCTTTTTAAGTGTTTTTGATTTATTCCTATAGAAATAAAGAAAAAGTATTCTATTCACTCCCAGAATGATCATGTCATCCCTAAAGCAAGATGATGCTACATTGTCAGGATTCAGGAGTCTATTTCTACAAGGATCACGTCTCAAACTTCTCGCAGAACCGTATGGATAAGAATGAAGATAAGGGGAAGAAGTCTACAGTGGAAATTGCCAGAGGTTTATAGGAACCAACTTCTCCCCTGGATTGACTAATTGACTATAAATAAATCCATTTCAGCCTTACCTTGAAATGTATTGGCCAGGGAACTCTTGCTGTCAGAGGTTATGGCCAAGTTTTCAAAATTTCAATTCTGCAATGTTTACCATAGTTATGAACATAGGGGGAATATTCCAAGTTCCACTGAGTCTATCCTTGGCTTGGGCAACTTCTCATCCCCTCCCCATTTGGCCAAAAGGGAAAAAAGAAAAAGCAGAAAAGAAACTGTTACCTCCCTAGAATTAATAGTCTGGATCAAAATACATGGCACTCCATGCAGATTTTGTGCTATGCTGTTGAGCTTGTGTAGAAATCACATGCTCTAACTTCTGTGTCCCAGGAATCATGCTAGACACCTGCTGCTAATTACTCTCGGCAAGCAAGCCATGCCTACTATCACTTTAGAAGTGTAATTAAGAAGCAGTTTTGGCCAACTGTTGTTGTTTGCATCTGTTGGCCCGTGAAGATTGGGGTAGAAAAACTTACGAAAATAATGTCTTCTTCATCACGAAAAGGTACAATCAATTTTAGTGGGTCCATAACTGATTTCAGGCGTTTCTTGTCAATTTAGAAACAATAAAATTCATTCCAATGGGGTGAGCTTTTTTAATAAGAAGAAAATGCCTCAATGGGGTATGACAGATTGAGATAAATGTTAAGGAAACTCTTGTTTGAGATCTCAATAGCCTCGAAAAAACGCTATGTCAATGATCATTCCGGTTTCAAAATCATTATCACAGGAGAGAGTAAAGGGACCATATACTAGTTGGACCTAGAATCACAGGTATTTGATTTTTGGTGGACCATTATTTTTTTTTGTCCCCCATGCCGATCAAGAAAAAAAATTAAAAGTAAATGGTTTTTGAAATTTCAAAAAGAAAGATAATGTGCCATATGGGCCATGGCTAATGTTTCCAATTCAATGAATGGTGATTTCTGTCTTTTTCTAATCATGCCAGAATCCAAGACTTAAACCGTCAGAAAGATCTCACTTCACAGTTCATGTCGGTGGCTTTAAACTCTTAAACTCATACCAGTACAGGCAATGAAAGTTTTCCTTTAAACTCTTGAAGGGCTTTAGCTTCTGCCAAGGGAGATGATGGAGGACTCCTGGAAACTGTTTTATGTATTTGGGATCTTGGTTTTTGGATTGGCAGCGCAATGGAAAGCAGTGAAAAGTGATGTTGGTTCGATGTCATGTGGGTTTCCAGCAGTATACAACTTTGGGGACTCAAATTCAGACACTGGAGGAATATCTGCAGCCTTAAATGAAATTCTTCCACCAAATGGAGAGACGTTCTTTGGACATCCTGCAGGCAGGGCCTGTGATGGTCGCCTCATCATAGACTTTATAGGCAAGCTTAAATGATATTCCTCTTGGCTAGTCTAAATATTAATGCTTCAGCTTACGTATTTCGATTTTTCATTTTGTTGCTTGTTGCAGCTGAGAATCTGAAGTTGCCATACCTTAGTGCATACCTGGACTCAGTTGGGACAAATTTCAGGCATGGTGCTAATTTTGCAACGGGAGGTTCATCGGTTAGACCGCCTGGCTATAGTCCATTCAATCTTGGGGTTCAGATTTCACAGTTCATTCAATTTAAAGCTCGCAGCACTGCTCTTTACAATCAACTTAGCCTCAACAGTAAGTCTTTCCATTCTGTGCTGAAGTCATTTTATATAGCAATTTTTTATGAATTCTACCAGCAATTATACTTTTTTTGGGTGAATTTTGACATCAGGAAGAATCCCTTTAACCATTAGCAATCTACCAAGGCCTGCAGAATTCTCACAGGCTCTATTCACACTTGATATTGGACAAAATGATCTTTCTTATGGTTTCCAACACACGACGGAAAAACAAGTTCTAGCATCTATTCCTGGTATCACAGGCCAGTTGTCCCAAGCTATTCTTGTAAGCAACAGCAATTTTTTAGCAGAAGTATTAGCAAAGTGTAGTTAAACTAACTGATACTGCCACTTATCCTGGTTTCAGGTACTATACAAGGAAGGGGCAAGGTTCTTTTGGGTACATAATACAGGTCCCCTTGGTTGCTTGCCCTATAGTGTTCTATATGACAAGTTAAAGCCTGGTAATTTAGACAAGAATGGATGTGTGAAACTTCACAATGAGGTGGCTATGGAGTTTAACAGGCAGCTTAAGGACAAGGTATCCCGGTTAAGGACACAACTCCCTTTTGCCAAATTCACATATGTTGATGTCTATTCAGCCAAATATGCGCTCATTAGCAACGCGAAGAAACTAGGTAAACAAACTTGTTTTGACAAAACATGTTATGAAAATTTGCAATGCAGGCTGTTGATCCATTTATTGAGATTTAGCTGCTGTGTTGTTCTTATGGCAGGTTTTGTTGATCCAGCTAATTTTTGCTGTGGAAGTTTTTATGGATACCACATTAATTGTGGCAAAAAAGCCACTGTGAATGGAACAGTTTATGGCAATCCTTGCAATCATCCATCAAGGCACGTTAGCTGGGATGGTATACATTACTCTCAGGCAGCCAATATGTGGATTGCACAGCGCATTCTCAATGGCTCTTTCTCTGATCCACCTGTTCCAATTCAAGATGCTTGTCAACATCAAAGAAAAATGTGATGATAATTAAAGAAAAATACCAATCATGGTATGTTCGCTGATCAAATGACAGTGAAACACTTCATCATAAGAGACATTGTGGTTTCTTCTCACACTATAAAAATATCTTAAGACAACAGTCTTTTCAATTGATCAGAAAAAAAAAAAGGTTTATTATCTTAGAAGCTACATATATTCAACAATGTTCTATCTTCATGTTTTTTTAATGCTTAAGCATTTGCATGGTAAAGTAATTATGATATTTTCTAATATTAGTTTATTTATGGCACTTTATTATTGTTATATATTTTTTACGATGAAGTCTGTAGCTTGGGTTGCGAATAGGCCAAGTATCAAGATTTAAACTCCAAGAATAAATCAAGTATAAAGATTTAAAGTTTAAATTTATTGAATTTCTTGTATAAATCAATTGAAATAAACTTCTATTCACTTCATTATTATATTCAAACCTGCCTTTGTGCTTTACCAGTGACTTTAAAGTGTGAACTAGTCCAATTGCTGCCGATAAATAGTTGAAGTTTTCATTACATGACATGTGCATGCCATTATTCTTGTCTTTTTAAAGCAGCCATGGTGTAGAAATTTTCAAAGAGACCTTAAATTCAGTTTGAAATTAAGGGTATTGGCTAGAACATCAAGAGCTGTGACAGAGATTGTTTTCCATCAATAAACTAGAACCATGGTATAGTTTTAGGACGAGCTGCTTTCATGTTTCACATGTAAATGTTGCATTTTGCGTACTTTTTTCTAGTGTTGTCTTCAAACCCCTCGGCCATCGGCCCTCACCAAGTCTGGTCCTTGTCAAAAGCATAAGAATAACGAGTGGTTGGTGCTACGATCATAAATTCACAATCAGCTGTGACTAGAGTCAATCCATGAGACTATGACATTGGGGTTTGAGGCCTTTCTTAAAAGCTTTTGGGCCTTTTCTGTGAACTCGGGCTAGACCCCATTGGTGTTGAGGGTCCTGTCTTCATAACTCAAAAAAAGGGTTTGACCAAATTGATCTGACAAGACACTGGGCTTTTTGAAGATCTTTTTTCTTGGTCTGGGCTTTTGGGTTCCTATGTTCTATGTCTAGCTCTTGTGCTTGTGCACATGAATGGAAAGGCATTTTTTGGGAGGAAAAGCTCAAGTGAGTAATAACTGGTATTTTGTTCAGTCATTTTCCACATCCAGGAAAATAACCTGTCATTCAAAACCATTCTCCCTCTGGCAGATGACTCCTCAGAGGCCTTCCTGGTAAACAATGATGTTTTCCCAAACTAATCTCTCTCGGCGAAACCACAAAGGCCTAGTTCAATGGAACAGTTCATGATGATCCATGTGACATTTAATGCAGGCATATATTAGCTGGGATGGGATGTACACACTCCGGCACTAACTAATTGGCTGCAAATTGCATTTTCAATGGGTCATTCTCTGACCCACCAGTTTAAATTGAGGAGAGTGGTCATTTCTCATGAATATAGGATTGTGATGCTCTTGTCATATTAGCTTTAGGCTTTTGGTTCCTTGTAAACATGTTCAGTTTAACTGTCAAATTGAGGAATTCTTTATTAGTACGTCTCACTTTCCTTGATTATCAGTGTGGCAATGGAAGCAAATGGGAAAAGTTTGTCCATTTCAAATTGTTGTTTTATAAAGCTCATGTCATGGTTTCTTTGGTGTTGTGCAACAATCTTCCTTGATTACTTGTAACGAAAGGAAGGGCAAGGATGTTCATAAATGCCATTCAACAATGGCAGATTGGTCAATTCTTTCACTTTCAGCCTATAAACCTGGAAAACCTAAGCCAACTACTGCCACAAAGGTTTTGAAGTCTTAGAAGGCAACTCATCTTTGCTGGTTCTTCGGTCAATTGGTCATTCAAATCAAGAACAAAGCAGTTACCAACAATGAGCTGATGTGGCCATTGGAAAACACAACAATGAACTGAACTGATAAATGTATTTCAAAATTACTAAATTTTGAAAGCATGGAATTGGTTGCATTTATGTCTTCTGATTTATGCTTTTCGGAGAGTTTCAGAAAATGGAACATCCAAAAGAAGGGCCGTTGGAGGGATCAAAGGTGGATAGTTTGGTGCACCAGTATGAGAAAACAAAATGCCACCATTTCTTTTCTTTATTTAAAAAAATTTGAAACATACAAATAAGAATTTTACAAAGGAATATCAACAATCCATAATCAATGAACCATGCAATTTTCTTTTGACCCCTCAAGACAACTGTTAAAACCAGGTTTTTATATCTGTGTTACTGTTATTTTTGGTCCCCAATCTCCTGACAGTGAATCTGATAAACCAACCACCTAACCTTCTTCCACCTTAAATTACAAATGACCATATTAACATCAACAGCATTATGATACCTTAATCCCATCATTTTTTATTATCTGAGTGCTGGTGTCAAGGAGTGCCACTAGTGATCTTGATTTTCGGCTCCTGACCCTGCCTGCTTCCTTCAATAACTCACCCAACCTTCGTTTCTCATCAATGACATCAGGATTTGCTGTTCCAAGCTTCTCCTCTCTCATGTCAACAACATAATCCAAAATCTCAATGGCATCATCCAACCTGTGAAACATAGAACTTCAAGAACATGAGAACCACTGACTAAAAGTAAAGATAGTTCAATACTTGGTTCAGGTAACAGATTAATCAATTAGATAACTTTGCTAGAATTTAAGGAAAAGAAGAATAATGATAGTACCTTCCCATTGCATCATAGGTACCAGCCAGATTGCTATAGACCGCCAATGTATCAGGGTGATAAGGACCATATTCCTTCTCCAAAATGCTTCTTGCTTCTTCAAACAGATCAGCTGCCTCATTTATCGCATATCGCTGTACACAGGCAAGCCCCATTTGATTCAGAGCAATTCCAAACAGGGCAGATTTCTTCTCTCCACTAGCTCGAAACTTTGAAATGGCACTTTTGAAGGTGTTGTAGGAGTCAGCATAGCTCCCCATCATGTAATACATGACTCCCATTTGTGCCTCAATGCCTGCAACTGTGCTGTGTTGACCTGGGGCTTCTCCAAACATGCTTAAAGCTTTCTTAAGTTGTTTGAGTGCCTGATCCAATTCATTCATAGATTGATATATGGCAGCAATATCAATGAGACCACTGGCAATCTCTTCTGAGGGGATTCCTGGATTTGGCTTTCCATAAATCCGAAGTGCATTTTCGCAATAAGTTCTGGAATCCCTTAGTTTTCCTACCTTATTGCACAAATCAGCCAAACGAACGAAAACTGAAGCAGCTTTTGGATGCTTTTCTCCTTTAGCAGACTTAAAAACTGTGAGCGCTTTTTGGTAGGCAAAAACTGCCTCATCAAACCGAGCCAATGATAAATATGCATCTCCGATGCTACAATCAATTGAAGCGACGTCCACTTCATGGCCATGGGCTGCCATGGCCATGCTAGCTAAAACATAATGTTCAAGAGCTGATTCATAATCTCCTTTTGAGTCACAGATGAGTCCCATGAGTCTCCTGTCAGCAGCTTCTTCAATAGAAGCAGGAGCACCATTCTCCCTGTGGATGTCAAGAGCCATTTGACAAAGCTTCTCAGCCTCATCAAATTGTAGTGCTTGAACATGTGCTTCAGCCACATATCGACATGTCTCACCAACTCGAAGATCAGTTTCTCCCAAAACTTGTCTTTGAATCTCCAAACCAGCTGTATAACACAATATTGAATTCTCAATTTGACCCAACATTGCATAAGTATCACCCAATTGCATGCATCCAGCAAATTTAGCAAGTGCATGAGTTTGGCCATCCTCAATCACCGGAATTTCAATTGAGCGTTCAAGAACAGGAATTGCTTCATTGTATTGGCCTAAGTTGCAGTACAATGCTGCCAGAACATGCAAAGACATGACTAGCTGTAGACTTGGTTTGCCATCTGCACATTTCTCAAATGATTTCGTTGCTCGAAGAGCCAATTCAAGGGCTTTCTGAGGATTTTCACCAGAAGACATCATATCCCTTGTCTGTTTGAGCAGAAATGGTCCAAGGTCTGGATTCTCCAACCCTGCCTCTAGAGAATCCTCAGTTCCATTCCGAAACTTTTCACCAAGTAAAGCAAAATTCCTATGTTTCCCCAAAGGGGAAGCTGCATTTAGTTTTCTTGCATTCTTTTCATACCGCCTTTCAACTAGAGTTTTCTCTTGAGAAGATTTGCTCTTTGGACTTGATTTTGCTGATGCTTCAGAATCCAATTGCAGTCGCGAACGATGCTTAACACCTTGAGTTTGGTTCTTGTTGTTGTTCTTCTTCTTCACAGGCTTTTTGTCAGTAGACACATTTTCTTTCTTAGGGATCAAGTCACCAACAACACTGCCTTCTTCTTTCTTCTCCTCTACCACCTCCTTTGTTATTTCAACAACACTAAAATCTCCAACAAGATGGCGCAGTTCTGAATCAATCCTTGATTCCTCACCATATGATCCATAACTAGTCACTGATGGAGATTGATCAGAGCTTTGCATCTCACACACATTGTGATAAAGCTGCTCAATGGAGGTTTCCATCACCCCATCAATGGCTAAATCAATGGAACCACTGTGCTGACTCTGTGGACTTGATGCACTTCTTGGAGATCTTTCTTGAATAAAACTATCCTTATAGGGAGTGTAGGATCCATTGTTAGGTTCTTCAACTCCGGTTTCTCCATTCATTGCATCCATAGCTAATCCAGGCATTGGACTGCTGAAAAAAACAAATGCAGACTTCAAAAGTAAACCGATAATGAATCAAAACAGAGAAAATGAAAAGAAACAATAAGCCAAATATGGCTAAAAGGTCAGGAAAATCTCTCATGATTAAACATAACTGAGTTCCATTTTCATCATCAAAAAAATCGCAAGAAAATTTCCGTATTCATTGTCAAATTCTTCCATAGCATCAAAAAAATGGTAGCCAAAGTGACTCATCCAATCCATTGTATAAGTCAAAGATAGCTCTAAAATTCTCCAATATTCACTAAATTTAGCTAACAAAAGAAAAAAAAAAACAAAATTCAGTGATCAATATCCCACAATTACACCACTAAACCAAAAAAAAAATACCTTATTTAGTTCTGTTTAATGAAGAAATCCCAAAATTTTTATATTAAAAAAAATCCAAAGTTTTTGAAGCTGATGTTTTCTATGAGTGTTATAGGCAGAACAAGAAGAAGAAATGGGTTACTGGTGTCATGTATTTCTATAAATCTGTTGGCTTATATAAACATATGTATACTTTTTAAGTATAGAAGGACAAGGAGAAATGGGGTATTTTGACAAAAAGAAAGGGGCAAAATGGAAAAAATATAATAAATAATTGAGATTAATT